TCAATGTCACTGATGGGGCAACGCTGGTCCAATCCAATGTTCCTCATACAGGAGCATTGGGGACGTGATGCACATAAGTGGCAATTGCTATGCACTTTTAACGCTTACCGGTAATATAGTTAAACAAGGCATTGTAGTGGAGATGTCTCTAGTGGCTGTCAGGTGACAGCTACTAGAGACTTGTTTAACCCTTCAAGGTAAGGCAATGATTTATCTTGTGGGGTTAAATTTATAGAACCACTGTAGAGCGAATGGGGCAGCAAAATCTTTTTTGCCTGGGGCAGCAAAAATCCTTGCACCTGCCCTGTTCCTGCTCCTCCTCTGTCCAATGTCTGAATCTACACCATGTTCTGATTGTGATGGAAATGCAGTAGTAGGAAAACCGTTATGCATTGCCTGTCTTCAGAAGGTAACCTCTTCAGCTTTATCTATATCTAGGTCATGATGACGAACCTTTTTGAGCCCGAGTGCCCAAACCACAGTACATGCCAACTTTTTTTTCCTTAAAGTGCCAACACGTCAATTAAACCTCAATACTGAGGTTTAAGTTTAGAAAAAACATCTCGTACTGTTGTCCGAACTAATTAACAACTTTTGTGAGTTTTAAGTTTTCTACAGGCAGCTGGGGAACAGCCTGTCATTCCAGCCAGGCCCCCTGCAAGCACAGCTTTGGATGGCTATTCCATCCATGTGATTGTGACCTCATCGCGATCACATACCCGGATTAGCCACAGAGGGACTCCCTAGTGTCAGGTTACCTGTAAATTATGCCTCTGAGGAGGTCAGTCTCTCTTCATAGGGGCTCCCCTCCCCAAGCATTTCGGCATTTTCTGGCCGTTTTTCCGCCGGACGCGCTAGCTCCTCCCCCTTTTATGACGCAACGGCTAGCGATGACGTCATCATTACGTGAAGCGCCGGGAACCGCAATCCCGGACCTTTTGGGGGCGTGGTCTCAATTAAGGTGACAGGGTATTTAAGGGAAACTTTTACTACTGCTCATTGCCCTGTCGTGGTTCTAGCTTGCTAGTCACTCAGCGCGTTCTCTCTCTTTGTGTTTTCGGTTTTGACCTTGCTTGTACCTTGTCCTGCTGCTCTCTCCTCTCCTTTGACTTGGCTTGTTCCTCGCTTACCTGTCCTCCGGCTCCCTCGACCTCGGCTTACCTTTCGACCATTCTTGTTTTGTCTATACGTTAGTCCGGCCATTCTAAGGTCCGGTATACGTACCTCCTTCTGTCCGCACTCTGCGTATTGGATCCCTGTCTCGATCCTGACACCTAGGATGCCAGGCAAGTCTCCCCAATGCGGTCGGCGGCGGGGGATCAGCGGCGAGCAGGTAAGTGGCCAGGACGGCGGGGCCGTACTATCTCGCCTGCCGTCATTTAGGACCGGTTCACCCGAGAAGACAGCATAGTACGCCCGCCTTCCTTAAGGGGTTAATAGCAATTAAATTTTTAAAGTGAAAACTCTCACCACTTACCTCTCCCATTGAAATCTCACTTCTGTAACACCCACATCTGTTAAAGGGACATTATAGTCAGCTGGAGCATTTCATCTCATTAAAGTGGTCTGAGAGCAGTCTGCCAGTCCCACTTAGTCCAGCAATGTAAATCATTGCAGCTTTTAAATTTTTTTTTTTTTAAAAATGCAAGAATTGCATTGCAGGACCTAGACTGCCTTTAATGATTGCCAATCAGACAGCCACTAAAGGCACTTACTGGCTGCTAACAAACTTTTGGTTACCTAACTGACACTGGACGCCCTCACACTCTGCATGAGGACATCCAGCGTCAGTAAAATCCTCATAGGATTGAAGCAATAATATAATTGAAGCCTAAGGCTCTCACAGTGCTCTTGGATGACGTCGTAGGAGGTGGAGCACCGAACCAGTGCAGAGGGACATCGGTGCTGAAATCGTGTAAGTGATTAAAGGACTTTTAACCCTTTAGTGGCTGGAAAGGGGAGGGGAGGCAAGGGAGGAAGGAACCAGAAATGTGTACCAACACATGCACCTGTTCTGCTCTCCTTTATCAAACAATTCCTTGGCATAGAGGTTATGTCGAAGAATCAATTAACAGGTAGGAGAAAACGCAATTTTTTTTTTTTAAAGTTGTTTTTTTTTCCTCCCAATTTATAACTTTGCTTGCAAAACTAGAATAAAAAAAATCGAAATCTGATGCTCTTTAAAAAAAAAAAAAAGCAAAAGCGTGCCTGCCATGCTGATCAGTCGCATGCTGGAGAGGCTCCTGCAGAATCTGGGCTTTTTATGCAGAAATTCAGGGATTACTGCTACCATCTATGCTGTGTGAACTCACTAAGTGTGAAAGTAGTTGTTGGTGCTACTGTGGACTCTGAGACTGGGAGTTTTGAAACTTTGGAGCCTACGGCAGACGGCTGCTGCCCTGCTCATAAGCCTGGCTGTCATACAACAGCTCTTTGACAGTCCTCACAGGCCCCGATCCCCCCTCATGGATCGGTGGGGGCTTAACCCGGTCCCCACTGGAGGGTGCCGACACCAGTACAGATTACCTGCCAGCCCACCCAGCAGTCGGACACCTGCAACAGACCAACAAAATGACGACTATGTGGCCTACAATGGGCGAAGTTGTGAGCCTGTTTATGGATGCATTTTTGAGCTAGGGCGTCTGCTGGTTACAGCTCCTAGTACTAGACTTCTGTCCCGCAAGCCAAGCCTCCGTACCAGGTGATTGAGAATGGTCCTCAAGCCTGCTTTCCTGGGCTTTGAGCCCCCAGAGGTTATCCCTCGAACCACTGCCCTAAGCCTGTGCGGAACATAATATCCAGGATCCCACAATGTTGGCCCCAAATGGTGCCGGAAACCGAGAGCACAGGCTGAAGGCTGGAGCTGGTGAAGTGGCACCCACCAGACTCACCTTCATGCCAGGACTCTGATATTAATGTACCCAAGCAGGAGGAGGGAATGGGCTGATCCCAGAAAATCCAGCAGACTTATCTGCACGCCTTTACACCAGTCTCCTGGAGCTGAGCCCGAAGGCTACGTTGCATTCCATGCAGGAATCCAGTGGCTCCTACTTGGTTTTACTATGCTTGTGTTTACCTGCTTTCATATATTTTATTTTTTGTACCTCGCTTGCTACTCAACTCTCATCTCTCACTCTCATACTAGTATTCTGTTGTGAAGCCTAGCACTGTGGTGATTTGTTTCCTATTATACTACTATTCAGCTTCCTTTCATTTTGATCTTTAGCATGTATTTAGTTTTGAATAGACAGGTGTACCTAGCATATTTCTCACATAACTTAAAAATGAGGCAGACATATTATGGAGTTTACACTCATGTCTATATCTATCTATATCTATATATATATATAAACATGTTGATGCGCTTCTATGCTTATGTGACTGTGCTACTGTAAATATGTGACTTTCTGTTTTAACTCATTTATGTACATAATATTCTTCATCATTGCTTCAATATAAAAAGAGATTGACAAAAAAAAAGAGCTATGCAGTTTTGGGCATGTAACATACCGCGCCGGCTTTTACCATCCCCATGGCGTCATGGACATGGACATAGGGGCTGATCGAGGTGCAGCTCTAGGACCATGCCCATGGAATAGGCCCATTGATTAAAAAACACTTTTTTTTTTTTTTTTACACACATTACTCCTATGGTTGCCACCTGGCTGGTATTTGAGGCTGCCTAGCCGGTGCCGGTATTGCAGTAATATCGGCAATACAAATGTCAATCTCAGTATAAACAGAGATTACTCTGCAATACCAGCACCAGCCAATAGGGGTTGCTGTGTGTGGAGAGAGGCAGGGATAGGAAGTTACAGCATCTCCCTCACTGCCTCTCTCTACTCACTGATTCGCGGGGGAGCAGCTCTGCACAGAAAGTCCAGACAGAAGCAAGCCTGCAGAGACCGCCTACAGCTTAAGTGAGGGATGGGGGAAAGGCTGCTGTGAGACATGGGGACACAGAGACAGAGACACTTGGAGACCTAAGGACACTGAGACACTAGGGGAAACTGTGAGACATGGGGATGGTGAGAGACTTGGGGACACTGGGAGACATAGGGAAACTTGGTGACACTGGGAGAACGGGGGACACGGACACTAGGGTAAAGTGTGAGAAATGGGGACGGTGAGAGACTTTGACACTGAGAGACATGGGGACACAGTGGCCCTAGTGTTCCCATGTCTCACAGTGTCCCAATGTCTCTTTGTGTCCCCTAGTGACACGGGGACACAGTCACTAGGGGACACTGAGAGACATGGGACACTGTGATACACAGGGGACACCGTGATACATATAGGGACACTGGAGACACAGACACTAGGGGACACTGGCAGATTAGGGGACTGGGAGACATGGGGACACTGTGATACATAGGGACACTGGGAGATTGAAACAGGGAGATACAGGGAACAATTCATATATACAGTAGAATCAAACAGGGTTTTTTTACAGAATTATCTTATTGGTTCTGGTCATGTGTTGAAGGGTACTTAATTATGAGATTCTTTCATAAGTTCATTAAATTTGTATCCTTATGTGGGATCATATTTAACAGGTACCACAAAATTTGGGAGCTGTTGTGTTTAGTAGATAGCTCCCTAATCTTGTACCCTTTAATATGGCAATTCCACAAAAAGGGTACCAAATTAGGGCACCATTAAACAGCTCACTAATTTGGTAACCCTCGTTATGCGAAATTGCCATTTAATACCAAAATAGGGCACTATCTACTAAACAGTTCCTGCCTAATTTGGTATCCTTAAATATGTCAATCTTACATAAGAGTACCAAATTAAGGAGTTTTCTACTTATCTAAAGCAATATGTGCTGGCAATTGGGTCATTCCATTCATTTGAATGGAAGAGAAATTTAAATAATTTACTAATTCTAGGTCTAAATGATTCTCCCAATGGAAGAAATTCATGTCAGACTAAAATTATCCTAATGTGTTTGAACAAAATGAAAATTTTCACCATGCACAAGTCTACCATGCACTATTGGACCTCATTAGGTGGCAGCATTTTCCTAGGATCTCATCCACCACAAGCATTTCAACCTAAGTATTTTTCCTGGTGCCAGTAAGAGTTTATATCAAAGGAGAAACACCTGAGCACGTTTCCACTCTATTCTCATTCATCCCTGCACCATCTCTCTGTTAAAGCCCTTCAAGATGCTGGCCTCATACTCTAGCTTTATAGTGGGAGAAAGCAGAGGCATAGTTTTCAGATTAGGAAAATTTACAGATGCATGCTCTGACACAAACCAAAGAGAGATCAGGTAGCTTACAATTTTCCTAATTTCCTGTGCAATGCATATTGACTAAAGAGATCTTCAGATTCCCCCAGTGGTGTAAGACAAAAGGTCAGTTGTATTTACCATTGTCTAGATTATATATTTATATATCCGTGTTCACGAGAGGAGACCCGGCGGATCTGCAAGCTAGAGGTCCCGGGTCTCCTCTCCTTCCCGTGCCGGCCGCCCAGCAATGTGCCAGCGGACTGGTGAGGAAGATCTCTGATCTCATCCGGTCCGTGAAGGCACACAGCACCAATTGCCACGTTGCGCTCCCCCCCTCCTCCTGGACCCCCCTCTGCTCTGAGCAGCAGAACATTCGGGTAATGAAGCAGTTTTTTGTGTATAGGTCATGCCTTGCAGTCTTACTGCTCAGTTATCTGCCATTACCAAGTTACATCACTTTGTTTGAGGTAACTTCTCACACAGCTAACATAGATGTTTTTTTTAAATCAGATGTGTACCGTGTGTACCGTGTGTATATTTGAAAAGTAGTTTTTTGTCAATTTTTATTGAGTGGCAAGTATAAATAACATGCAGTGGTAGTAAACAATTCTCATATACAGGCATCCATAGAATACAAAACTGTGAAAATAAGCTGGATTACCACTTGTTTTGCTTGAGATGATTTTATCTTCTGCAAGGTTAATTGAACTTTAAATCACACACCAACTCCTGTAGACTTAAAGCAGGAGATTAGAAATTCTAAATTAAACACACTGTGCAAAAAAAGGAAGTTCCAATATTAAATATATTTGCAGAAAATGTTTAGGAAAACTATTGGTAACATGTAAGAGAGGTGTGACTAGCGGTGCACGAACAAAATCATTTAACTCCTAATGGCAGAGATGTGAGCAGTTAGACTGGAGGGGGATGATCATTAACCTAAAGTTGTTTTGGTGCTTAGTGTTCCTATACGTAGTCCCTTTCTATTGTATTTGTCTCCCAATAACAACAACCCCAATCGGCACAGCCCCATCTATTAACACAATTAAAGAAAAAAAACATTTACATGTTCAAAATATCCACTTTATTACAAGAGCAATTCACTGCAAATCCTACCAGTAGTTCAGACATTTGGGAGAAGAGAGAGGGGGGCATTACTCTCCAATCTAGTATACAGATCACATGGTTTAACCACTTAAAACCCTGTCCAAAAAAATAATGGGGGTGGAGGTGAATGAAGCCACTTGCAGAAACGACCTGCGCTTCGCCATAAAACAAACACCAAACTTCAATGACTAGGTTAAGTCTTGATAACTAGCAAACTCTCCTCTATCAACATTCTTGCAGCCAATTATAAAAAATAAAAATAAAAAGTACACATTGTATTCCAACTATTCAAAATAGGGTTTCACTTTATCTGATGTAAAGGTCTAATACCAATCTGCAAGCCAGTTAGACAATGTCTTACTAATTGCTTGTACTGTATTTAGCTTTACTTGGATGAATAGATAGGACAAGGCAAAGGAAATGGTTTCGGAATGGTTGATGTTAAAATATTTGACTTAAACCAGTTGCATGTAACTTATGGCATTGTATAGGGAAATGGATTGGTAAAATGTATTTGGTATGTGTATGCTAAAATACAAAACAATTAAAACCTTAAAAATATTTTAAAATGTGTGTAGAAAATGGCAATTAACTTTCAATAAATTAAAAAAGAAAAAAAAGAAAAAAGGCAGCTTTCTTCACTTCAAGTGTTATTTTTTCCTCTCCCTTTCTGTAGATAAAATTACTAACTTGACTATGATTAGATACCCAGTCTCTGTGCTGATTGAATTCAGCTTAGTCTCAAACATCGGTTGACCATTATATAGATGTACATATCGTGCTTAATCAGTGTAATGTCCCAACATCTTGGTAGCTGGACCCCAAATTAATTAATATTTATATGTTGAGCATTTGTAACTAGCCATATATTCTAGCCACATGGCAGGCTTAATTCAGCTTGTGTAGAACTTGAAACTTTTTTTGTAACCACATTGCAGAACTGTTAAAGGACAACAATCCCAGGAAATGTTTTTTTGCGTCTTCAGAGTTGCGCTGACTTGAAAAAGCACAGACCATATTTGTGTTTGGCAGGGTCGATCATTCATACTGCAAGCAACAGTGCGACTGGCTTAACTTTATACAAATGCCCACACTTCCACATCTTGCACAATAAAGTCTTCCTTTTTGGACAAAGTTTCATTGTTGAAAGTGCTACACGAGTTACTGCGTCCATGATACAAATCAGAGTCGAGCCACAAGCCAAACCGACCCCTGAAAAGCAATAAGTGGGAATACTAGATCAATAAAATATTTAGGGGTATTTTAATACTCTGTATAGGCATAGAAACACACAACAGACGGTTTCTCTTACTTTGTTTTAGTGTACTGGAGTACTACACTATGCTGGCTTTATCAGTTTAACCCCTTAAGGACAAATGACATGTGTGACATGTCACGATTCCCTTTTATTCCAGAAGTTTGGTTCTTAAGGGGTTAATTATATTTTAAGGTATGTAGCTTAACTAGGTAGGTCATACACCGGTTGACACCCACAATCTATGAAGGCTGATTTAAACAGAGATAAAGACCTGGGTAAAGGAAACAATTTTGGTAGGGGACAGCTTTTCATTGAAAATATGCACCCCTTAGAATGTCAGCTAAAGTGGCCTATTAACTTGTCCTTGTACCATGAACAGGTATAGGGTCTGTTCCACTTCACACTCTGGCCACTGTTTTGAACAGTTTCACTATACGTCAGCTGACCACAATAAGGTAGTATCAGTGTTTAACTGGAAGGATAACCTGGTATGGTATGGTATGAAGAAGTATTCTATTTCAAACATTTCCTTGGATGACCCAACTTCTTAATGTAGTATTCACAGTTAATGAAGACAAACATATTTAATATCTGTTGATATTTGGAGTCCGTGTCTGTTAGTAAACGGTTGTTCATCGTAGGGTTGTATTTTAACATATTAGGTGTAAAGCTGGGGTGCCCAAAAGGTAGCTCCCCAGATGTTGTAGAATTAGATTTCACATATAAATACCCGTCCTCCTCTTTGCTTATAAACACTTTGAGATTGAATAAGACTTTTTTTTAATTCTATTTGTACTTTATTTATACATACCCTCCTCCTCCTATCTCCAATGAGCTTATGTCTCCATTGATAAAGTAAGAATTTTCCCCACTCCACTTGAAGATCTGCAAGAAAAAAAAAAGAAGAAATGGGGACATTTAGGCAATGTAAAAAAATTCCAATTGACACTATTAAATTTTACTAACGTGACCTATTTTGATTGTCGACCAACTTTATAATACATTTTCTTTGTTTGAAAACATATTAAGAACATGGGATACATAACTAACACAAGCTAAAATTACATGCTGTGCAGAGTATGCTGTTGAGGCATACCTAAAAGTTAAGTTTCAATTTACTGTACTCAAGTTTAGTTTTTAATTTATTTTATTAATCCTTTACAGAAATGTTGCATGCTATACACTTTGCAAGTATCCCTAATTAAGACAACATGTAAAATATAAAATGAATGAAAGTGTCATTGAAAAGGAAATTCCTATACGTCACATATTATAGGTGTACCAGAGGTACAGATTGGCATGTTTGTCGGTGTGACTATGAATAGAGCGTACAAATGGCGTAAATGCAGCAAGTACATTTACACCAAACATCTGTACAATACTTGAATGGTCAAATAGTTGGAATACTTCCATCATATTTTTCGAAAATCTGAATAAAATCAACCTGCTGACAAGTCTCAAATATACAAGTGAATTGTGAAAAACCAAACATACCTTAAAATCAGGGTTAAATGTGAACAAGAACGTTTCTCCAGTGCCGTAATAGTGATCACTGAGCCTGAAAGGGTGAGTAGCGTAAGCTCCAAATACCTTTGAGGACAAAAACACAAGTCTTTAGGGCAACCATGAGATAGATAGATGTTTTAGTGCTAAATTATTGCAACTGGTAACTGATTAATTACTGTAATAATATTTACCATTTATACCATTGCATAGATGTGGTCGCTAGGGACTTTAACATGTTGTGTACCATGTGCACACATTTTGTATGGATTATTCTGGTGATAGGCAGGCTTTTAGATGAATCTATTTCCTTCCCAAACGTTCCCATATACATCTGGACAATCCATGCTCACTATAAAGTACTATTTGTCCATTTCTTAGGGAACATTACAAGTACCATAACTAATACTGCTCACTATATGTGTACCCTGACTCCCACCACCCACTGTCAGTAGTCAAACCATTTTTGAATGGTCTGTCCTCTTACCGGAGATCTGTTGGGCCTGGATCCCAGACTCCACCACTAACACTAGAGAGCTGGAGGTTCTTGGTTCTGTTAACTCTCCTAAACTAAACCGTGCAGGGCTTAATTCAATTATGGAGAGTGTCAGCCAATTCAAGCAGCACTTACATGGATGGGGTCTAATCTTATTCCTATCCAGCACAAGTTATATGATTGCTAGTTCAGCCTCCAGCAGCAGTATTTGGAGTTGTAATAAGTGGAATTGCTGAATAAATGGATAGCAATAAAACTACAGCTGTGATCAGTTTAGTGGCTGAAAAATTCACAGTTCTGTGACAGGAATGATAAGTGTTCGCCCAAAGTACAGAGTATGCATGCATGTTACCCAGGCTCTTAGCCATGATCACTAGGGACTTTAACATGGTGTGCACCATGTGCAGACATTTTGTATTGATTATTCTGGTGATAGATTCCGCTAAAAGCCGGCCTATTTCCTCCTTAAAGTCCAAGCAAGGCATTATAACCAATACCATACTCATCAGTGGTTTTGGTGTAAGAAGCATTTGATTGGACTGTTCTCACCAGCTTAGAGCTCTCTGGGCCTGGGAGAGAGTGGGTGTGAGCAAGGGAGCAAGAGAATACAATTACAAATAAATGTACCTTAAGCAATGCAGGGAGGCGGAGGGAGGTGCTACATACAAGGGAATACACTTAAAACACCAGCACACACACACAGATGATAGCAGAGTTGAATTTTGAATTGAATTTTGCAGAGTTGAAATTAGGCAGCCAGGAACGTGTGCAAGGGGTGCAACCAACCCCCCAGCACAAATGCAAAGAGATATCTGTATGTGCGCAGATTCTCAACACCGTGACCACTTATACAAGTTGAAGTCATGGTGGCAGGATTCACCCTTTACATTCTACAGCATTACAGAGGAGTTCTCCTTTTAATACAAGTTATCGTAACAGATTTGCATACATAAAACCTGTAATGTATATTTAGTTACCTGGTTGTCCATATCTTTAACAACTAGAAGAACGGGGCTGTCCAGACAAGAGAGATTCCTGTAAAGAGTCTTCAGGCTGGTTCCATGTTTGTGTGTACTGTACTCCAGATGCCAAGGATAACCCTGTACTCTTGCAGGTAAGCGATGAGCCAACTAAAACAAGATGCAGCCAGGATTGGTTTATTAGAAAGACCTTGGGTTTGGTTTGGTTCTGTAGTCTTGTATATATTGTTAACAAGAATGGTAGTCACCCACAAATGGTATGTTCAATGTGTGGTATGATATTTAATTTAAATATAGTAAAAAAATTTATAAATTTAAAAAAAATCACCTCCTCATTGCTTGTTTTTTTTTTTTTTTTTAAACATAATCTGCATTATGTATTACTAAGTGGATGTTTTGGGCAAACCTAACTTGATATGGAAAAATGTCTTACAGCCATTGCACACATAAGCAACCGTGACTGTTAATGACAAATGTCTCATGGCAAGGTATACATTTTTAACATGTCCTAGTCATGTTTAAGTGCAGTTACTGCCTTTACCTTTTCAACATGCATATCATTCAGCAGCAAACTCTTGTGTTTTAAATCAGGTAAAAAGTCCTCTGTGTCTTCCTCCTCATCTTCCTCGTAACTGCAAGTGCTCTTCCGACGCTTCGCCTCTTCTACGGTTATGATCTATATAGAGATAAATTATGTTGATTGACAATCATCATACACATGTACACAAAAAAAACACCTAAATTATAAATCATGAAATATGTGTTGTCGTTTTCAGCTACCAATTTAAGACAAGGGAGGAATGCTTTTTCTTTTAATTGCATAAACTAGACAAATCCAGAATCAGATTGATTTTGCTCCTATCTTGGAAACAAGTTTAAACAAAACTGATGTTTACAATCTTTTAACCTTGGAAGGACACCAACTAGAATGTGGAATGCATTCACTTCAAGTAACAAGTCTAAAATAAACAGTTCTCACATAAAAGCCTTAAACTGTGTTAGTGCAAGTGACAACGTTTTGCTTGTGTTGCTTTCAGGAATATACTAACAAAAATGGTAATAGTCCCCAAAGAAAAGGAAAAAACCTGATGTCAAAAGAAAAACAAAGTACTTAACGTTATAGCGATAGGTATTTTGGGCAGAATTGCCAGTCAGGAATTCCATGTACTGCAAATATTTCTAGAGAACCAGTAGCACGGCAGTTTATTTTTTGATAAAAACATCCATAGAGATGAAAATCCACAGGCTGAATAAACTGCATAGTATAGTATCTAAAATAACCATCAATGTAGTATAGGATCTAAAATAATGAACTTGCTTATGGTTTCTATATTAAAAACAAAACACAGCAATGATAACAACTCTCAGAACTTCTACCTGTACATAAGGCTCCTGGTCCACTCCTATCCTGTAAATGATTTTCAAATCTAGAGGTTTGGGTTGACTCCTCATGATCATTTCAAGGTGCATCTGAATGGTTATGGCCATGTGAAAGCATGCTTTCTAAAATTGGTGAGTAGGCTGGCTGCAAATTTGCAAAATAAGTTTCACTTTCTCACAATGAGACACTAGGTTTCCATTTCCTGATTGGGAGGGGGAGAAGGAGGGGTATATTGCAAGAACTAACTTGCACTGGGTTTTCTGTTTGGTCCCCCCCCCCCTCCTTTTCAGAAAATAGCATTCTAAAGCCTTTTCAAAGTCTTTCAAGAATACAACAGTACTTTACATATATACTGCACATATCCCGCAGTTTTGTGGAGCAATGTTTTAGAATATAAAAACATCTCACCTCTTGTTGTGCAGTCTACATTAGAAGAGTGTTAAAACTGAGCCATATGTGAAAGAAGTGTATTTGTGACGATCGTCTCTGGTTATGTGCAAACACACGGAACAATCACAACTTAAATATTATTCTCTATGCACTTTAAAAGAGACTTTCACTTTTCTGGTAATTGCACCATTGAATAAAACACTGAAAAACACCTATAATTTGTGCTCACCTTTTTACATGTGATACTATGGTACTTTATTTTAGATTTACAGTAAATATTTGGCAAATGATGCCAATCCGTTATAGATAAGACACATTCCTAAAGAGGAGGAGCATTAAAATATTGTTTCATTTCTCCACTTCTGTGTGCTTTCTCTGTGCTGGCTGCCAACTGCTAAGAACAGAGAATATAATAACCCAGTTGCAGGATTAAAAGTGGATTTCTACATATAATTCCATTTTCCCCACACTCCACAAATACATGTTTGTTTAATATAGGTATAAATATTAAACATTCTGGGAAGAGATGCTGTAATACTGATTTTATAGTTTATAAAGTGTAATGTAAATTTTAACAAGCATTTTAGGTTTAAAATGTCTATGGTTATTTACACACAAATTCAACTTTTTATATCCACTAAGCCGCACAGACCAGCAGGGCCGCCATCAGGGCATGACAACCACGACGGTAGCATGGGCCCGGCGGTCCAGGACGGCTCATGGAGTCCCGGGTCCCACATTACCTATGTGCGTATATAATATATATCGATTAACGTTATATATATGTGCATGTTTGGGCCTGCCGCTACCTGTACTCTACAGGCGGCCCAGCACACTCAAATATACTTCCCAGCTGCTCTGTCTAAGTCTCTAAGTGACTTAGACAGAGCAGAGCAGCTGGGAAGTATATTTCAAGTGTGCTGGGCCCCCTGCAGAGTACAGGTAGCGGGGGGCCCGCACCATGCCACCGGACCACCAGCCAATGTAAACTCTCCCCTCCCTGGCCACCGGTAAGACGCAGGGAGGGGGGAATACAATAACATTTATTACAATTAATGGAAGGAAAAACAAAACAAATACTGTAGGCTTTCCCCTCACGTTATGCAGCCTCATACATTTACACACACTATACTACTACATTTACACGCTACACACTATACTACTACATTTACACACACTACACACTATACTACTACTACATTTACACACACTACATTCTTACACAATCACTATACACACTACAACCACTACACAAACACACTATGCAGTCAATATTCAGACACTACAACAAGTACACAAACACACTACATCCTTACACAAACACGCACTTTTCATTCACTACATACACAACACACACTCTGCATTCACTACACTGACTGCTATTTTGGGGTCAAGAAGGAATTTTTTCCTAGTTTGTTGCAAAATTGGAAGCGCTTCAGACTAGGTTTTTTTGCCTTCTTTTGGATCAACAGCAAAAACATATGTGAGGAAGGCTGAACTTGATGGACGCAAATCTCTTTTCAACTATGTACACACACTACATCCTTACACAACACACACTACACAAACACACTGCAGTCACCATACACACACTACATGCATTACACAAAGACGCATTCTGCATTCACTTTACACACACACACACACTACATCCACACACACACTGCATTCACTATACACACCACATCTAATACACACACAGTCTGCATTCACTATACACACACACACACACAGGGCCAGTGCAAGGATTTTTTGGTACACAGGCAAAAATTATTTTGTAAACCCCCCAAAAGCATCTTCACCAGAGTCGCTTAACCCATCAGCCCCTCTGTGTCTTTTTCCTCTTCTTCAGCCTCTCTGTGTCTTTCACCCCTCCCCTACTTGTCCCTTAGTAGTCCTCTTCCCTCCCCCTTACCTGGCTTAGTTCCCCCCATTCCCCTTAATGTCCCCCCATCTTAGTGTTCCTCTCCCTTCTCTTTTAGTGGTCCCCCCACTTCCTTTCAGTCCGGTCGGGTAAATGATATATAGAGTGACTGGCAGGGGGGAGCACTGTGCGCCCCCTCCTGACGGCCACTCCAATCCAGTGCCTCGGTGCGGCCTAAGGCGGCCGCTTGTGCCGTCCTAAGGCGGCCACTTGTGCCACCCAGGGCCGTCTTTAACATGGGTCAAACGGGCCCAGTTACTCCTGGGAGGCCCGAAGCATCTGCCCCATGGGCCCCGCTGCCTTCGACCATTTCTTTTCCCCCTCTGTAGGCCCGCCAGTACTGCCGGGGACCCGCACAATAAGGAGGCCCTTGCACTAAGGGCCACCCGGTGGGCTTGTGTTAGCAGGGTCCTGGTCGTGCGCTGTGGTGCTTTTCGGCAACATGGGAGGAAGTGACGGCCATGAGTCACTTCCTCCCACAAAGATGAGCCGCGCGGGGAAGACGGAGGAGGCAGAGAGGAGGGGGTCAGGCCGGGAGAGCAGACCCCATCTCCCAACAGCTTCAGCCACAGCTCTCCAAGGTAGGAAACTGGAGGGTGGGCTTAAAAGTGTACATTTTGCGTGTGTGTCTGTGAATGTCTGTCAGATTGTGTGCGTCTGGGAATGTCTGTCAGTATATAACTATGTCAGTCTGTCAGTATATGTCTGTATGTCAGTCTGTCAGTATGTGTGTGTCTGTGAATGTGTCAGTATATGTCTGTATGTCAGTATGTATGTGTGTGTCAGTGCATATATGTCAATGTCTGTCAGGGTGTGTATGCCAGTATGTCTGTGAATGTGTGTCAAAATGCTTGTCAGTATGTGTGTGTGTGTCGGTATGACTGTCAGTGTATGTGTGGGTATGTCTATATGTGTCAGTATGTCAGTGTCAGTGAGTGTGTCAGCATGTCTCAGTAGGTCTGTGTGTTTTAGTATGTGTCTGTAGAAGTATGTCTGTCAGCATTCATCTGTGTGTCAGCATGTCTGTCGATATAGGAGTCTGTATCTGTGTATCTGCAAGTGTGTCAATGTGTGTGTCAGGATGTGTATTTCCATTTAGCTGTATGTGTATCTGTGTGTATGTCAGTGTGTATATCGGTGTGTGTGTGTGTCTGTATCTGCATGTGTGTCAGGTTGAGTATCTGTGTGTCAGTGTGTGTATATGTGTCTGTATAATTGCATGTGTGTCAGTGTGTATATCTGTGTATCTGCATGTGTTTCAGTGTGTGTATGTGTATATGTGCATACATCTCAGCATTCACACACCAACGCAACACAAATACACCCCAGCATTCAAACTTCAACTCTACATACAAACACACTCCTTTGTGTAAACATCAACACTACATACAAACACATCTGTGTTAAACATCAAAATTATGTATAAACACACTCCTGCATTCAAAAACAAACACTACACATTAATACATGCTTGCATTCAAACACAAACACCACAACAAGCACATCCCTATATTTACACAAACATACTCCATACAAAAACATGATTACATTCAAACACACAAACACTGCTCAGTGCTAAATACAAACCTGCAAACATGCATTGTTGGAGTTGGACGACAATGCATTGTTGGAGTTGCACGACAGATGGTGATCTACCTTTTTGTCACCCTTGCAATAGGGGGGCCAAAAAAAATTCTTGCACCTCTTTTCTTTAGAACAGAACAATAACAGAACAATACAATGCAAAAACAGAACAATAAAATAAGAACTGCAAAAACAGAACAATAAAATAAGGTTGCGCCTAAAATATACAATAAAACATATAAAAATTGTATATAATAAATAAAAAATAGTAAAGAATCCTTAGGTGGGGATCATACCACCCAAGCGCTTATATTGGGCAGTACAAGTCTGCTCTCTATATTGTGAGTAGTATATATTTTATACTTTTTTACACCTTTAATTACTATACAGAGAGCACTATATTTTATTTCTCTTTCCTGGGTCGAATAACACCAATTCGGACGCCGAATCTGAGCCAGATACTCTTCAATCAAATATTACTCCGCATATCCTTGAGTGGGGATTATTCCACTTCACGTGCGCTATATCAGAGCTAGGTTTTAGCTCTGAAAAGTGTGAGTAAGACTATTTTACTTTAATATACTATTTTATTCATCTATATACTGTGCCATTGGAGTTCCTTTTTGTCTTTTCTCTGCATATGTTCCACTGGATCTCAAGCACACAACTGTGAAGACATACTCTATTTTACGTCTCAGAATCCCTGTTCTTATACGTGGCATCCACCATTACGGACTTATGATAAGTGTTTTGGACTATTGCCAACTACTTATTTAATAATATATTTAATATTTTATATTAAATTTTACTATTTTTTATTATATACAATTTTTATATGTTTTATTGTATATTTTAGGCGCAACCTTATTTTATTGTTCTGTTTTTGCATTTCTTCTTACCATTAGGGGATTATAGGGGACTCCCCTTTGAGGATTGCAGCCTTATTGTTGTTATTATTTTCTTGTGTGGCAATCTAGCACTGATTTCTCTCTTCCATTACCTCTTTTCTTTAGTTCTACCACTGCATTGGGGTGGATGGTTGCGTGCAAAGGAAGATGATGTGATTGCATGCAAGGGAGGAGGAGGGGCAGGATCCAGGGGGCCCAAGAAAATGCTTTGCCCAGGGTCCAATCAATAATAAAGACGGCCATGGTGCCACCTTATGGACGCGTCGTTCCTGCACACACACACCCTACATCCACTGCACAAACACACAGTCTGCATGCACTATACACACTACATCCAATACACAAACACTTTTCCCATTCACTATACACACCCACTCACTCTGCATCTAATATACACCTCATACATTACACAACTGTACAATCTGCATCCACTATACACACTGCATCCACTTTACACACGCACTCTGCACTTACTACACACATTCTACATCCACTACACACATTCCGTAGTGGGCGGACTTGTGGGGCGGCCCTGGGGGGCCCAGACCTTGAGCTGTGTCAAGGGCCCCAAAATTTCTGATGGCCGCCCTGCAGACCAGGGTGTCCCTTCTTGTCAGATCTCTGCCCCCATACTCACCGAGTCTCCCTCTCCCTTCACGAAGATCATAGGCGTGCGCAGCCTATTGCATTAGGGTGTGCACCCTAAAGCACAAACACACACGCCGCGTATATATGTATGTATGTATGTATGTATGTATGTAGGTATGTGTATATATATATGTGTGTGTGTGTGAGGGCACTGTTAGTGTGTGTGTCTGTGCTGCCATGCCTGATCCCTGGTGGTCCTAGTGTGAGTGAACTCTAGCCTACAGGGCTAGAGTTCACTCTCATGAGATCTGAGCATTGCCGCGGCAACGCTCCGACCTCGCGAGAGAAACCCAGCGGAACTGCTGGCTAGAGCTCCCCGGGTCCTCTCCTGCCTGTGGACCGGTGAGCAGGGCAGAGCAGCCCACTAGGAAGGGTGGGCCAGAAATGTGGTGCGTTATATCGCCACCAATGACAAGCACCACCCACCCTCCCAATTGTTATGTTCGTATGATGCCCCACCAGAGCATTCAGTGCTCTCTGATGGAGAAAAAGTTCTAGTGACTTGTCTCTGGTGTCCCCAGTAGTGGGTACTGGAGAACACAAGTGGAAAAGGATTGTTAAAGTGTGTTTTGCACGTGTGGGAATGCTCCCTGCAGTGTTATATGTGTTTGGATGTTTTTATGTGATTGCATGTGTGTAGAGGAGACCGGTTATGCTGTAGAGTGTAAAAGGGTCTGTTTGTGGTGTATAATATGTAGCTGGGGCCTGTAGTGTATAGGTGTGTTTTGGGGCTGTATATTATATGTGTGTGTGTTTTTATAGGGCCTTTAGAGTGTGTGTGCCTAGTGGTGTGTTGTGTTTGCATGTAAGGACTGTATTTCGTGTATCTAGGAGTTGCAGGAGGTGGCATTGTGTGTATGCGTATCGGTGTTGTGCACATGTGTGTATTGGTGTGGCAATAATAGGGGGTGTAGTGTGTGTTTAGGGGAGTTGTGTTTGCATAGGGGTACGGTGGGTGCACAGGAGGTGTATATCGGCATAGTATGAATGCAGTGGTAGGGTGTTTATAGGGGTATAGAGTATGTAATGCTTTTGTATGTGTGTATGCAGGAGGTGTAATTGTAATACATGTGTTTATAGGGAGTATAGGGTGTGTGTAGTGATTGAGTGCAGTGTATAGGGGGTATAGAGTGTGTGTGAGTGCAGAGGGTGTAGTGTGTATATAGGGGTATAGTGTGTAGTGTGTATATAGTGTGTGTAGGTGCAGGGGGTGTAGTGTTATGTATAGAGGGTATAGTGTCTTGGCGCAGGGGGTGTAGTGTGTATGTATAGGGGGTATAGTGTGTAGGTGCAGGGGGTATAGTGTGTGTGTAGGTGCAGGGGGTATAGTGTGTAGGTGCAGGGGGTGTAGTGTGTATGTATGGGGGTATAGGGTGTAGGTGCAGGGGGTGTTGTGTGTATGTATAGGGGGTATAGTGTGTAGGTGCAGGGGGTGTTGTGTGTGTATAATGGGGGTGTATATAGGGTGTAGTGTGTAGGTGCAGGGGGTGTATATAAGGTGTATAGTGTGTAGGTGCAGTGTGTATATAGGGTGTAGTGTGAAGGTGCAGGGGGTGTATGTAAGGTGTATAGTGTGTGTAGGTGCAGTGTGTATATAGGGTGTAGTGAGTAAGTGGTGGGGTATAGTTTATGTATATAAGGGCTGGATAGGGTTAAATAATTAATTTTGATTGTTTCATTATTTAAATAAAAAAATTAAAGGGGGGCGGGGCCGGGCAGCCATGCTTGCAGGCTGCAAGTCACCACGGCTCCTGAGGAATTCAGCTAATTTTGGGCAAATACCCACTTAATTCAGCCTGAAACACACTGGAAACTCGTGGAACAAGAGCTCGGAGTGTCCTGGTGCAGCTAGAGCACCTGAAATCGGGTGACTCTGGGTCCCAGTGAGATGCTCTGGGACTTGGGGACTGAGGCCTACCCGGGGGGGGGGGAGTGAAGCGGACGGCCGCTGCCCCACTTTCCACCCCTGACTAAAGAGACCCACAGCGCGGCTGGAGCCCTCCCGGCCCCGTTCACCCCCCCTTTGGACCGGTGGGGGTTATCCCGGTCTCCACCAGGCAAGTAAACACCTTCAAGGCACTCCTGGGCGGCTCGACGACGACAGCCGACAGCCACCATGCGGCCCTAAGAAAATGGCCGAAAGCAATGTAACTACCTTGCGTTGAGGAAGACCTCACACACCACGCAGCCGAATCCATGCACATCCCTCGACAGCAAAGGTGGTAAAGAGGGGAAGACGGCAATCCACAAACCTACCGCCCATTCACGCGACAAGCCCAATATATGCCCCACTTGAAAACGCCTTACCTCAGCCTCCTGCCACCAAATCCGCAGACTCTCACTGGGGAAAGGCCCGGAAAAGCGATCCACTCATGAAAGCACAACAATACCGGTACCCACACCCGGATAATGAGCTCTGCGCAGCTCAACACTCGTACTCACCTCACGACCGGGTAATATGACCACACCGACCCCCAGACACTATGCTCTGTAGCGGGCCGTTGGGACCCAGCGGACCCTGGGCGACCTTCAGGGTATATCCCCATGTGCAAGAAGAGCATGCCCAGCAACAGCATCCACAACACGACCTGTCGGCAGCTCCAACTCCTCACGACGGAATACACGAAGGGCACAAGCCACAGAACTCACCGCAGACACCCCCACCAACAGACACTCTGGCGGCACTCACCGCTACACGGACACCTAAGTCAGTAAGGTCACACTCAAACTGGCAATACATAACGGCCGTCACCACCCTGACTTTTGCAAACGATGACCCAACGTGCCGAAATCTGCCTGGTGGTACTCTACTCTGCTTTACTTTATTTTGATTTAATCTACTTTACTTTATCTTATTTGACAGACCACCCTAGCTAAGCTATTTGTTTTCTAAAAACCGCTGTGCACATGTCTGTTATAAATATAAGCTCACTAACTACACACCCAGCTTCTGACCCTAAGTAACCTCGTAGTAAAGAGCTCCAGACTATGCGGTGGCCCCCCTTAATACAAGCAAAAGAATTCAACAAGTTTAAAAAGTAGAATGTCTAGAATTTACAAAAGGTTAAACGTTAATGTTAAGCATGGATAGCGAGCATAAGAGCACAATGACTAGTATGTGTTTCCATGTATAATGTCTAGAATGCGCAGGAAGCGTAAATGCACATTGCTTAGTAAGCGCTGGAGGTCACCTTGACAAAGATTAACTTGATGTACTCATGTTTTGTTATTACATACCCTCACTTTAAACACAAAAAGTTCCAGTGACACTGTATACCCCACTGTTACAAATGTTATTGGTGTTATAGGTGAGTGGAATGCCTTTGGGGTACCACAAGCATGTCTGTTAAACCTATATGCAAAAAAAAAAAAAACAGAAAGAAACGTAGTTCTTGCACTACTATACCTTTCATATATATAGCATGATAAATTAGCATGATTAAATAACAAAAAATGTGCTGTTTAATCGCATGCCATATTGTCTTAATGTCTAAGATGAGCCTGCAGGCGCTGATGTGGCACTGCAAGACTAACTGTTACTTGTTCTTACGTGCACAAAGAAAAATAAAGAATTATAAAAAAAAAAAATAAAAAAATTAAAATAAAACCACAACCTACACATTTACTCCCCTTTTCTCTTATTACCTTTGCAGGGGGAAGAGGGAGCATGCTGCTGATCATCCCTGGTGATCCAGTGGGCTAGTGATTTGGTCTGTACCTCCGCAGGGTACAGACCATGCCTTACTCTCGCGAGAGCTGAAGTTTCAGAGCGTTGCCGCAGGTTACCACAGCAACGCTCTGAAAATATCAGAGATCGCAAGAGGGCTGCCCTGCGCGCAGTCTGGAGGCCCTTTGCTCCATAGCCAAACGGAACGGAGCTCTTCAGAGCCTCTCTCGGGGGCCAATTTGCTGTGCTTGAGCCGGCAGGGGAGATTTTTTGATGTGCCCAGGCACACTTGGCACACCCCGTGCGCACGCCTATGACGGAGATGTCGCGCTGGAGTGCGACCCTCTGTGCAGTGCGGCCAGCCTGACCATCACTGCTGGCCGCTTGTGTTCATCTAAACAAGCCGCTTCCAGAACCCGGCTGTTCGGAAGGAGGAGCCTCAGTGGATGAAAGTCTGATGAGGGTGTACAGGAGGGTGGAGCTACAGTAAGTGGACATGCCTCTTATCCTTATTTAAACTCAATTGACCCTTGACTCTTTGCTCAGATATACTGTGCTCATGTTGTGCCTTCAGGGTGCCCTCGAAGGCACAATAGGGACAGTTGTATCTCTCTCCCCCCTCCCTTACACCCTAATATATAAGTTCTACCATTAGCCAAATTATCCAATTACTAGCCCATCAGCAATTTTTGTTACATCTTTTTTGTTAATTTATTTTGGCCATGTGCCTAGTTATTTTGGTTATTTTTCTTTTTCTTTGGCTACATGCCTGAGAGTCATGAGTCATAGTGTTGTGTCAATCTAGCCAGAGTTTACATATAAAGTATCGATCACCTATTTCCAAAAGCAGTCACTTTGTTACTCGACTTAATATTGATACTTTTTAAGTGATCTGCTTTAGACCTTTTTTGGGGGTATTTACCATCTACTTTATAGTGTGGACCAGGCTTTGCTACTCTTATGTAGATTTTAATAGTACTATTATATTTGTATATTTATATATATATATTTTTGTCTTTTGAGACTTTTTAGTGAATAGTTTTTATTAAAAGTTAAGTTTTATTATAAGAATTTTCTTTAGCATTCCATTATTGCAGTACCAGACATTGCATCTTCTGCTTTCTTTTCCTTTTTGTTTCATTCTATCACAGGGGTTACCCCCCATCTAAGAGGCATGCTTAGGAATTTATTATAATTTTTTCCCCCTTTCTATACGCTTACTTGTATTCAAGTCTGCAGCTGCATGCTTTGTGCCCGTTTCCTTTAGACCTTCCTGCTGACATCAGCAGAAGTGGTGGCCTGATCCAATCACAATGCTTCCCCATAGGATTGGCTGAGACTGAGAAAGAGGCAGATCAGGGGCAGAGCCAGCACAATTCAAACACAGCCCTGGCCAATCAGCATCTCCTCATAGAGATGAATTGAATCAATGAAGCTCTATGAGGAAAGTTCAGTGTCTGCATGCAGAGGGGGGAAGATACTGAATGTTTGGATGCATTTTAGGCAGCCATGACCTAGGAAGGATCTCTAACAGCCATCTGAGGAGTGGCTAGTGAAGTTATCACTAAGCTGTAATGTAAACACTGCATTTTCTCTGAAAAGATAGTGTTTACAGCAAAAAGCCTGAAGGTAATGATTCTACTCACCAGAACAAATTCAATAAGCTGTAGTTTTTCTGGTGACTATAGTGTCCCTAAGGGCTTTCCCGTCTAAGAGCACTCATTCTGCGACGAGCCCTTCGTGGGTGAAAATTGATTATTCTTTGTTTTGGTGTGGTTTTATTTGTACAGCTGATTTTTTGGGGATGGGGTATTTTTATTTTAATTGGGGCCTTTTTATTTCTCAGGCCCATCCCATGGTCAGTCACCACATAATAAACCCTCTTGCTGCTGAAGGTTTTTTTGTTTGTTTGTTTGTTTTTTTGAAACTATTTGCCTGCTGGCTACTAGTGCTGCAAATAGCAAGTGAATTCTAGTTTGCGATTCCGGTGTACTCGATTTGTTAGGATGAGTTCAGTGAATCTGTAATTTCCTCATCCGAATGTTACAGAATCGGTCAGACTGACTGAATTCCCAACCATTTGGCTTTAGTAAATATGAGAACTGCCAATTGTTGGATTTCTGACCAGGCACTGCTTTGCTCTGCCCTGCTTAGCAGACCACACAGAGCGATGGCTGATGTCACCACTCTAAAGAAGGGAGTGAAGCAGGAACCTTAAGGTCGGATTGTACCTCAATCCAACAGAAGGTGCATGAATATGGCAGAGGAATGTAGGGGAAAGCATTTCTGGTATTTCTACATCTACTTCTTTTAAAAAACCAAACAAAAAATATTTTTATTACATGCTGCAAGGAATCAAACAATAGTTATAATAATACAATTGAACAGTAAAAATACACATTCACATATTATCATGACACTACCTAAGTGTTACTTACACATGGGAATTATCAAGGATTAGTTTAGTTTAGTGTGGTTTTACTTTGTCAGGTAGATCCTCCAACAAATAATTCATAAAATCCCATTTTAAATACTCTGGGTTTCCTTCTTTTGTAAATGTTATGCAATGATGGTGAAAAATGTCATTCCTAGGCTGTCATGCGAGCTCAAAGGCAACATAGGCCCAGCAAACCAATCTGGCAAATTTCAATATATATATATATATATAAACTGAAAAGGGGTAAGCCCTGTAACTTTCCAAAACCGCACAAAAACCTGTATATGGGGACACTGTTATACTCGTGAGACATTGCTGAACAAAAATATTTTATTCTTATTGCAGTAAAAAACAGTATTATGACATTCACCGTTAAAGTCATGCAGAACTTGTAAAATAAAAGTTCTTCATTCATTTCAAATTAGGTTCATATACAGGGTCGGCATTTAGGCGCCCTGTGCGAAAAAATTTCACAGCACTTCTCCCTGGTCATACCTTTTTAAAATGCCCTCACAGTACTATGTGGTGTGTACCAGTTTATCATTGAACTCTACAACAATAAAACTCAAAGTAATGTGCAGTGTATGAGTGTCACAGAGCTCCACAACAATACAAATCCCAGTAATGTGCCTATTGGCATATAACAGAGCTCCCCAACTATAAAACATTGTAATGTACATTTTGTATGCCAGAGCTCCAGTATAATAAATCTCATAATATGATGCAATGTGTGTGTTGTCTGTGTGTTATAGACATGACAACTGTGTGTGGTATTTGTAATGGATGTACAGGCTGTGTGTGAGGTTTGTGCTGGGTTTATTGGCGATGTGTGATGGGTATTTGATTCAGATAAAAATATGCATGTTGGCCTATGTGTAAATGCAGGTATGCATTTTTGCAGAGTCACATGCACACAGTTCCACAGTCAGATGCACACAGTTATAACCACCGACTGTCAAATACAGCCACATGCACAGTCACACACGCAGAGAGTTACAGCTTTCAATGATGAGCTGGAGGGGGGAGAAGGGCACTGCAGTTCCTTGAGCCTAGTTGTTTGGAAAGCTCCTTCCTGCTCCCCTTCAGTGTGCATAAGTTACAAGGCAGCTGGTTCAGACAGCATTTTACTCCTCTTCCCCTGCCCATTTAGCTCTGCCCCACTGCTCGTTTAGCTCATTCCCACTGCCTTATTAGATCTTATAGACACCGGTGGAGGGTGCCGTGCAGCCACACTACATAGCTAGATTATCAGCATGACACCAATGCTGCCTAAGGGCAGCCCTTTCTAAATAAATATGTATACATAAATATTTGATGTTAAATGAAAACATTATTTCTCCTGAATAAAATTATATATAATAAGTGTGGGTGCACTGAATATGAAAGAGGTGAATTATGGTTGAACAGACATAGCTCAAATTCCAGGTTTTGTTTTGGTTCAGAACTTGTAAAATTGCCTCCATCCTTAAAGGGTTGCAATGACAGTCTGGCATTAAGCAAAAAATAAATTTAAAAAATTACATTTGGCATAGCTGCAAAAAGACTGCCAAAGGTATACCATAAATAAATTTCACGCTACTTTATCAAACAATTTCTGGTCATTACTCATGCAATGGGAGTAAACTTACCATCAATCTTAGATCAGATTCACCAGGAAATGAAACGACTAACAGGGCTCACGCAACATTTGTTTAACGATTTCTCCAGAGGGTGAGAATGGGGATATAGGAGTATGCAGAAAGAAGATGGAGTAACAGATACACCTAAACCGGTTCTTGTGCAACAAACTGCAACACTCATCCCTCTGCACCTGGGAGACCTGAATGGACGGAGTTATTTGATATGGAAGGTGTATTTATTTAGATTTGCAATGTGACGGCAGATAAGAACCATTCGGCCCATCTAGTCTGCCCAATAAAAAATGGAAAGTGGGGCCTGGGACTCCCAGAGCAGTCCGGGCCCCCCACCGCGACAGACAGACAGCCAGACGTGGTCGTCCCAGGAGTGCCCAGCAGGGGATTTGAACCTGGGTACTTTGCAGTCCTGGGGCTGCTATTTTGCCTCTGATCCACCATACAACTCCCACAGACAGACAGCCAGACGTGGTCGTCCCAGGGGACATACATCCACAAGCGACTAAGAATGAGTGTGAGCTCATAAATATAATAAAATAACCTATAAAAAATAAAAATATACATTTATTAGTATAAAACTTGTATATATGTGTAAATGAATTAAATCATAAATAAGAACATGACCGCACTGATCTAATGCTGGTTAACAGGGAGTAATTCAAAGGAAGGCAAATACAGCCTAATAAATATAGATACAAAAATAGGTAAATAAAACCGCCATAGACACAATGTATAAAACAAAGTATCTGATGGTTCAAATGCCTACAATGTAAATAAAAATAAAAAACAAATATATAAATAAATACAAAAAGTACCTTGCCTCGGTGTGGGCCCCCACCGAGGTATAAATAAAAAATTATAGTAGAAACCTTGAGAGGATATAATCAATAGAATGAGCAGTGAACAATTACGAATAGAAAACCCCCAGCAGACCCAGATAGGATCAGTCAATGGGGAATTAACTGTTGCACCGCAGTCGGTATCTTCTAAAAAGGCCGCGGTGTAATGGAAGCACACTCCCAGCGAGAACTAATAATGATCCGTCAATAAAATATAAACTGTACGCCCTGTTAACCAGCATTAGATCAGTGCGGTCATGTTCTTATTTATGATTTCATTCATTTACACATATATACAAGTTTTATACTAATAAATGTATATTTTTATTTATAGGTTATTTTATTTTATAATATTTAGGAGCGCACATACCGTTTTGCAATAAAAGCTGCAATGTTTGCAGTGCATAGAGTCAAACAATTAAAGACAGTGTATCTAAAGATAGATGCTGGCCTGCTCTCATCCAGGGAGAAAAAAAGGGAAAAGATCCTAAGAAGTTATTATATGCCTGCAGCCTACTGAAGAGGCAAGCCCCAGCAAACTCAGCTTTGCAAATTGGTATGCAATTTGCTTCCATAGTGGACAGAGTTAAGCACTAATCAGTTTGGACAGTGGTAGCTGTTCCATGACAGTAGCATGCGTAGGAGTCCATTTCCTTACACTTCTGTCATCTCTACTGCACCATGGGTATGTACGTCCTTTGGAACACACCTAGCGATCGACCACAAGAAGAAACTGGGCTGATGCAAACTTTCCATGATCTGAAGGAGGCTGTTCCTTGCATAATCGAAATGATTGAAAGGCCAACAGGGCTTACCCATGTTGACATGATGACTTTACACAGAACTGTGGAAGTCCTGCAAACTAACCGTTTGTTAGTTTGCAGGTCAATGCGTGGCTTAAGTCTTGGTGCAGGAAGGAGGGTTTTGGGTTTTTAGAGCACTGGGCCGACTTTGCGATTAGGTACAACCTTTATAGTGGTGATGGATTGCACCTAAACGGGAGAGGGTCTGCAATGCTGGGGGATAGGATGGCTAGAAGGTTGGAGGAGATTTTAAACTAGTATTAGGGGGGAGGGTCATAGCAATCTACAAAATGGAGATAGGACAGAAAGGAGGTGGGCTTTAGCACAGTATAAGTGGGTGGAGACGGGGGTAGGGGCAAGCTCAGAACAGAGAAGCTATGTAATGATGATAATTCACAAAATATACAAGTGACGCATAATATTAAATGTATGCTTACTAATGCAAGGAGCCTAAATAACAAAATGGGGGAACTAGAGGCATTAGCATACACTAAACAATATGATATAATAGGCATAACTGAAACATGGTGGGATGAGACACATGACTGGGCAGTTAACTTAAATGGGTACATGTTATTTAGGAAGGATAGGAAAAACAAGAAGGGTGGTGGGGTATGTTTGTATGTCCACCATGATTTAAAGCCAAATCTTAAGCAAATGGAATGCGATGAGGATAATGTGGAAGCTTTATGGGTAAATATCTGCTTTAGGGAAAAGAAGGGAAACCAACTATTGGTTGGGATATGTTATAAACCACCTAATGTTAATATTGACGAGGAAAAACAGCTGTTTGAGCAAATTGAGAAAGCTGCAAATCTGGGTAACACTTTAATTATTGGAGATTTTAATTACCCATACATAAATTGGGACAGAGGGACTAGTAGCTCAGCAAAGGGAATTGGGTTTTTAAACTTGTTTAATGACACCTTCATGTCACAACTTGTACAAGCACCAACTAGAATGGATGCTTGTCTGGACCTGGTTTTAACAAACAACGTTGATCTTTTGACCAACATTCAAGTAGGTGAGTGTAGCGGAGATACAATATTCCACAGATTATCTCCGCTTAAGATCCCAGTGAGGCTCAGGAACAAGTAATTATAAAACCACAGGCAAGGTTTCCAGCAGGTAAAATAATCCAACAGTATCCCAACAGCAATCCCAATAACTGGACGACACACAGCATCAGGAGCAGAACTGAAAACCTTTATGCCACAGTGGCCTTATATAGCATGCTCCCATGCAAGGGAGGGACTTTCATCAATTAGTACAGTACCCAATCCAACAATAGTAACCTCCCACCTATCTCCTCCCCTCAGCCTGACTCATAATCCCCTTATAATGTACACAAATTCCCCCAGTTTCTGGATGTACCCCTAAACCTAGGGGTACCCCTTTAAATGGCACATCCCCTGGTAGCCCTGATCTGGGTGAGCAACATATCCAAAAACCACCCAGATCGGACCAGGGGTTCGGGAAATTTATGGAAGTACTAAAAAGACCGACCGCGCTGGAGAGAACAGCCGAATTGGGTTCCATGCGATGGGGCCCTGCGGTCGGTCCCAGTATAAGGGAATAAATTACACGAAAGGCTAAGGCTACAGAGATCAGGTAGGGTTCGCATGAATCCCCTCGTTCGGTTGTTTCTGTCTACCGAACGAGGGGCCGTTCGGTAGTTTGGAACCGAACGGACCGGGCTTGTGGAGGTCTCAGCGGTGTTCGCCTAGTCGAGTGTCCGATTTGAGTTCCAGACACTCGACGGCAAAACACCGCTGTTCGGGAGTTTTAAAATGGCCGCCACCACATGTTCGTTTCCCGAATGGTGGCCACCCGCGAACAAAGGACCTACTGCATAGCTTGTTAATTACCCGTTCGCAACATTGTTGCAACGGGTAATTGAAGGCACACTTCACACAGGGGAGGTCTGATTGTTCGGTAGTTTCATTCCCTTAGTTTATTCGAATGATTCTACCGAACAATCAGACGAATACACTTTATTTCAACACATACAAAACCAGCAGTTTACACGAATGCAGTTAAACCCATGTAATTTTCAGGACAGCCCAGTGCCATCCGCTACAGTGAGCACTTGGGAAATAGTGATCACAATATAGTGTCCTTTGAAATAAACTCAAAAAAACAAAAGCACATGGGGAATACTAAAACATTTAATTTTAAAAAGGCCAATTTCAATAAGTTAAGGGAAGCTTTACAATATATTGACGGGCATAAACTATTTAGTAAAAAGAACACTGAGTATAAATGGATCATCTTCCAACAAATATTAGAAAGGTACATTTCTCAGTATGTACCATTGGGAAATAAATATAAAAGAAACAAATTAAAACCAATGTGGCTTAGTAGAGAAGTAAAACAAGAGATTAAAAATAAGAAAAGGGCATTTAAAGCATTTAAAATCGGACAAATCAGATACATCTTATAAAAGATATAAGGAAGCAAATAATGCGTGTAAAAAGGCAATTAGACTTGCTAAACTTCAAAATGAAAAAATGATAGCTAAAGAGAGCAAAACCAACCCCAAAGCATTTTTTAAGTACATAAATTCTAAAAAAAACAAAAATGAAAGTGTAGGTACACTAAAAACTGAAACGGGGGTGTTAGTTAATGAAAAGGAAAAGGCAGGAATTTTAAATAACTATTTCTCCTCCGTATATATTAAGGAAGAACCCATGGCAATAGATGTGCAAGTGATTGCTACTAAAAGCTTGCAGAATAATTGTAATTGGTTAACTCAAGACAAGGTGCTGCAGCAACTAAAGAAAGTTAATATAAACAAAGCTCCAGGGCCTGACGGTATCCATCCACGTGTACTTAAGGAACTAAGTGTAGAAATAAGTGAACCTTTGTTTTTAATCTTTCAAGATTCTTTTCTTTCAGGAAGTGTTCGGGAGGATTGGAGGAAGGCAATTCAAAAAGGGTTCAAAATCCTTGCCTGGAAATTATAGACCTGTGACTTCTGTGGCTGCTAAAATATTTGAAAGGTTATTAAGGGATAATATTCAAGAATTCCTTGAGAAGAACATGGTTATCAGCAAAAATCAGCACGGTTTTATGAAGCACAGGCCATGTCAAACTAACTTGATTGCGTTCTACGAAGAAGTAAGTAGAAGTATAGATCAGGGTGTTGCCGTGGATGTGATCGATTTGGATTTTGCCAAGGCATTTGATACAGTTCTAAACAATAGATTAGTGTTCAAACTTAAAGAAATCGGTCTAGATGAAAATGCTTGTTCTTGGATAGAACATTGGCTTAAAAATAGAGTACAAAGAGTTGACATTAATGGTAAATTTTCAAGCTGAACAGGGGTGGCAAGTGGTGTCCCTTAGGGGGTCTGTTCTGGGACCCCTTCTATTTAACATGTTTATAAATGATCTTGAAGACAGCATTGCAAGTCATGTTTCAGTGTTTGCAGATGACACAAACCTTTGTAAAATAATACAATGTGAGCAAGATATTAATTTGCTGTATAGGGATTTAGATAGACTGGTGGACTGGGCACTCAAATGGCAGATGAAATTTAATGTTGATAAATGCAAAGTTATGCACTTCGGCATAAAGAATACACAAGCAACATATACCCTTAATCAGGATGAAGGTAGGTGGGCATGCATGCATGCGACAACTAGAGTCACTGGTTACACCCAAAGTATATTTCTAGGAAAGCAACACATTATAAATAATACCAAAAACCCACTGTATATTTTAGTATAACATTTCTTTTTCTATCAGAAAACAGGATGGTTCACTCACCTCCCAGCTTTTGGTAGAGGGCTCACTGAAGAAATTGTCAATCATATGCAACTCATCCTTTTCCACCACCACAAAACCCTGGTCTTTGGCATCTTTCCCATATACTTCTGGTGACCATTGAACAAAAAATGTGTATAAGTGATCCACCCTGCAAAAACAGAAAAAAGGCACCATACTTACTATTACTAATATGAGCAATTTACTTTGCTTACAATAACTAAATAGTACAAGTGATTACTCGCAGATGAGGCCCAAAAAGATCATCCGGTCATATGTGGCATCTCTTGTGCAGAAGGAACCATCAGAAAGTAAGCTCTCACTGCAGAATTCTTTGGATCCTATTCTTCATACATCAACCAAGTATGGCCTCAATTTGATATTATTGGACAAGCTTTTCAATTGATTTAAAATTTTTGGATAAAGGTTTAAAATATATATTTTTATATATCATAAAAATATCAAAATATTACAAAATAAAAATATGTTGCTGATTAAGTTATCTTTAGAGGTTTATCCAACAATATGAAATTTGAAAAGCTGATCCAGCAATGATAAATTGAAGTCTAAGTTCTCTTTCTTCAGCCATTATGTCTTAACACCTATACCTAAATTAACAAAATATTTAGAAAACCCAAATATAGGTATATATGCACCTGGGTACTAACATTGAAATAACAACACATAACCCATGCAAGTATGTAGTCTACAAAATAAATTGTGTTTCATGAGAATGCTAAACTATAGAATTAATTCAGTTTTCAATTTTTTTTTTTAGATTAAAAAAAACCCCATAAAAATTGTAATTCACATGATCACAAACAATACTTTAGAGCACAAACTGCTTACACTACTCACTCTTGAATGCTGTAGGATACACCCATGATAAAAGGTTGCAAGTACTCAAAATTACAATGTGAATTTAAAAGTGGTACAAGCTTCTCTACTTTATACAGTAAAGTCTAATGATTACCCGTTTTAGTTTAACCTGAAAGAGTTTCAAAAGAGATCTGCCCACACAATTCAAGTTAATAAAAAGAAATGTCTTCCTGTAAAACTAGGTCAATTATGTAACTTATAAAAGGTGATTATAATGGATTTTTTTTTTACAGTCAGGATTTTACACAAATGCTTTGCCTGCCAGTTTGTAACACACCGCAGGGCACTGGAATGTGCTCACGACTGGAGAAATAAAATCTAAAGTTTGGTATTCCTGCTAAAGCAAAAGAAGAAAAAAATACATATTAAAAAAAAAAAGGTATGTTCGCATGAAAGAACCAAACTCTGCAAACTTTACCCAAGTACAGGAAGATGAGATGCCCCCTAGGAATTACCAAGATCTTATGATCAGCTCTCCATTATCACTCCTCTATTACTTTCTTTGCCTCATCTTTCCTTCTACTCAGATTCTTGGCTGTTACCAGTTTCCCTTTTCTTCATTGACACCTAGGTTAATGCGATATTAGCCAAGTTGTGTTTGGTAGGCTATAGGACGTCTTGAACCATCTGTTGTATATTTTGCTTTGCTATGTGAATGCCGATAATTGTCTAGGTCAATGCCAAAAATACTCTTAATTCAACTATACATTGAAACAAGAAAAAAAGTTATATGCACCAAAACAACTTTAGCTCAACTAAACTGTTTTGGTGTATAGTCCATGCCCATGCATTCTTACTTATTTAACTCCTAATTGGCAGATAATTGAACACTTTGTATACACAGCCCTAGTCACAGCTCTCTTGCCTGTGCTTTACACAGATTTCCTGAACACTGTCTAAAGAGATTTCATTTTTAAACTTCCTTTATTCAAACCTCCCAAGTGTTCCTATTTTGAAGGGACAGTCCTTATTTTTGGCCCGAATCCCTCTGTCCCTCATGTCCCTATTTCCTAGGAGCCCCATGGTTTATGTGTGTGTCTATATAACAGAGCTCCACAGTACTGATACTCACAGTATAGGGTCCATAAATACAAGACTGATTAACATTTGAAAACATTTGTAGTAAATAACATACATTGTTCTTGTACTAAATGACATTTTAGCTGCATTATTTAGGTTTGTCACTTAAAATGTCTCAGCACAGCCCCACCCCCGGAGACTCCTCCTCTCACACCTCTAAATATAATTGTTCCCCTTTGTTCATTTGAAGTGTTGGGAGGGATGTTTTTTTTTTTTTACACAGTGTGTCTACGTTAGGTGTTCTTATTTCCTGTGGTGTTAATTCAACTTTAATCACACACAGGAGAGAATGATTAAATGAAACACACCATGATCTGATTGGCATTCACAAACCCACATTAAAAATGGTTTCATTTTAAGCCAGTGGAGGTGTGGCTAAGGTTGCATGAATATGAACAAGAGTGATTTAACTCCTGTCCAGTCGATCGCCAAATCCTGCCGCTTCTATCGTAAAAACATTGTGTGCATCCGCCCCTACTTAATGCTAGATGTGGCAAAGATGCTGGGCCATGCCACTGTCTTCTCTCACCTGGACTACTGCAATCCGCTTCTCACTGGTCTTCCGTGCTCCCAACTTACCCTATTGAAGTCTATAATGAATGCAGAGGCGAGACTCATCTTCCTGTCCTCTCGCACCTCCCGTGCCATACCCCTCTGTCAGTCCCTGCATTGGCTTCCCATAAAATATAGGGCTCAATATAAAATTCGGGTTCTTCCTTTCAAATCTCTACATAATGCTAGTCCCCCCTATCTATCCTCCCTAATACATAAGTATGTCCCATCTAGGCCCCTACGCCATAAGTATGTCCCGTCTAGGCCCCTACGCTCTGCCGAAGACCTATATTTATCCTCTGTTCGTACTCCCACCTCTGATGTTCACATTAAAGATTTCTCTATGGCTGCACCGTTCCATGGAACTCCCTTCCCATTTCTGTTAGACACTCACCCAGTCTCCACTCCTTCAAAAAAATAATTAAAAACACACTTTTTCACAAAAGCATACAAATTAAACTGTTAATGGCTCCCAATAACTCATCTCCTGCAACTTTAAAAAACAAAAAACACGTGGCGAAAGTGACCTCGCCACTGGTTTTTGGAGGGGACTACTTGCCAGCCTTTTACCCTGTGACTATGGCCCCTTTAATTTATTGTGGTTGAGAGACCCTATTTGTGGCTATTGGGACTTTAAACAATGGTTCTTCGAACTCCGAACAGTCGAAGTGGCCGCCATTCGAATACGTGGTGGCGGCCATCTTGCTCACATGGACCAAAACAGCAAATAGACTTTAGGGGGACTTAGCATGAAAACCTTGCGGTTCTGGGTCGGTTCTCCAGCGGCACTTAGCCGCGATTCTATGGAACTGTTTTGGGCATGAAATCCTGTGTTCGCCTGGGCAAAATTATAGCTTCCATAAAATTTCTGAACCCATGATGTGGATGTAAGATTTATGGGGTAATTATTGGACTTTATAAAAATGTAATGCTTTATCTGCCTTTATTATATCACAGGCAGAGGGGAGGGATTGTGTACTGTATGTGGGAGTGTCGTTCCTTATCACATATCGTTCCTTTTTATTGGCTTGCATACTTTGTGTCCTGTGCCTAACAAGGTCCACCTGGGCGTCAACCTTGTTGGGGAAACTTGCATAAAAGGCCAGTGTGTCCCATCAAAGCGGAGTTCCTATTTTACCCTCAACATAGAGTCTCGTCTCATGTGTGGGGGAAAAGGCTGCATCTACCCTTGGGATTGCTATATCACTATACTCCCCAGGGATTATAATCCCTAAGCTCTTTTAAGAGCTGTTTCTGCTTGTACTCTGGAGGAAGAGAGGTTCACCCACTGGTGGGTAGGAGACAACGAATTCCCAGCCAAGCTGTAACGCTGGACATTGGGACTGCGGTGCTGATGGTGTCCGGTGGAGTGCTTGGAGTCCTCAGTGAGCACTAGGTACCCAACCGGGGGTACAGGAAGCTCCGTTACAAACACACAATTATTGAATACTATTCTACCAATCTACTTCCCGACTACTTCCCTTACCTTTTGTGTCACTTTACCCCACTCCATCTAGCATGTAAGCTCATTGAGCAGGGCCCTCAACCCATTGGTTTGTGTGTCCAACTTGTCCGGTTACAATGACATGTTTGTTAGTCCACCCATTGTAAAGCGCTACGGAATTTGTTTGCGCTATATAAATATAATAATAAATGGCAGATAATTGAGCAGTGAGACTGCAGGGGCATGATATACACACCAAAACTGCTAAACTTGTTGTGGTGCTTAGAGTATCACTTTAAAATATAAATCAGTGTATGTAATTTCCATATATAACCATCATGCATAATGACAAAGATCAATGATATATTTACCATGTTCTTTACGGCTTTGTATTCTTGCCAATTCTATGGAAAATGGATTATGGAATACACAAAGCACATAAAACATACACTATACAGACAAAGGTATTGGGACACAACTCCTAAATACTGAATTCAATCAGATCCATTGCCCCAAGTGTATAAAATGAACCCTTAGCGTCACATTTTTCGTCATGCACTAAAATTAACGTCAGTTTGCCGCAATATTTTAATGGGTTCCTACAGCTAATAGACCTTTTTTTGCGTACCTAGTGTCCAGCCATCCTTAATTCTATTAGATTATGACAGAGCAACCCTAAAATAATCTGTCAAGTAGTTATTCCCTTATGACTCCATACTTGCAGAATATAGCTTTCCCTCTGGGTTTGATACCTAGGCATTTTAAGGGATTAGAGTGTTGGGCTTCAGAGATATATTTAACTATTCCACTATGGTACACTATGATCCTTTGAAGACTTGAAAGCAATAACACCGTTGTCTAAGGATTTCTTTAGTTACATGCAGGTACGTGCCTGGGCGATAGGGTTCAAAAGGCAGTAAGTGCCCCACTCACCTTTTTGAAAAGATCTGTTTATTGGAAACTGTACAGAAAGGATTAATCACACACATTTACACTCACATTAGTGACACCTGAATGGGGGCCCTAAAATACACTAACTAGTGTGAAGTGGTTTTAAACCATTGGTTGGAAGGTGGTAGCTGGGAAGTCATTTGGTAAGCAGATTCTAGGTCTTCTATGTGTGTAGTGTCAGCAAAAGCCCTACAAAACATTGCTATGGTGGTATACCACACCTGTTAAGCTGTACAAGATGGGTAAAACTACATCTGACTCATGTTGGAGGCAGTGGGGGTTGCAGGGCACATACATTCACATTTGGTGGATGTGTCCTAAAGTAGTTGTATTCTGGAGCAAAGTCAAGGATTAGTTTCAGTATTACACAGGCCGGTTGACCTGGACCCATGATCCTTTTTACTTGCTAAACCCGTAGAGATTTTCCCCTCACATATACAAAAATTACATAACAATATCACCGTAGCAGCAAGGAGAGCAATGGCTCAACTGTGGCTGGGGGTTTAAATACCAGGGATAGGTAAGATTGTAGGGAAAATAAAGGACATGCATCTGATTTATTACAACTTGCATGTTGAGTTTATCTATTACCAAAATGTTACAAGGTATGGGATGAATACTGTGATGCTACGCATACTGGTGCTGTATAAGTGAAGAGAATACATTTGTGGCCTGGACTAATATCCCACGGGGAGAACCTACCACCCTTTCTCTTTCCTCTTTTCCTTTTATTACCCTTTCCTTCGTTTTTTATATTATTTTCCCCTTTTTGTAATCGAGCCATTGCAACTACAGAATACGAAATGTTTTTATGGAAACACTGTTGTGTTATTAAACTGGTGCTTATGGCATTTTTAGTACTATGGTACTAGTGTTTATGGCTACCCAAAAATAAGCCCGGTATTAGACCAATACACAACTCCTTTGCAACACTGGGAAAAAGGGATATCACACATCAATTTGTGTGTGAAGATAAAATGCATATGTAATACACTGGATATTAATAGTATTTCATAAGTGTAGCCGATCAATTTCGGACAGTCCAAAATGCATTCTATTGTTCCATTTTGCCCATTCAGCAGGCATGAATGAGCAAAGTTTTCCAAAATTAAGAAAGGATGGGAAAATATTAAGCTCAGATATAAAGTTGTCTGCAAATCTACTGCGGATGAGTTGGTTATTTTATTCTATAATTAACTCAATCATGCAGCAATGCCAGATGGCATTGCTGCTTAGAACTTTAATCTATTTTATTTTTAGACCTTTAAAATAAAGGAAAGGACTTACAATTTATTAGATTGTAATGCCATGGATAAAAAGTATGAAGCATTTAAAAAAGTAACTTGTTTCCTTTTCTTCTTTTATATACAAAACCATTTAACTTCCACATTCAAACTGATAGCAGCAAAAAGGATACACATTCTTAAAAACTGACAGCTCATTTCTTTAATGTACTATATAGATAAAAATACCTTTTAAAATCCTAATGCTATGCAGATGAACACCAAGTGTCAGGAGCAGACAGAGCCCTCCCAGGCCAGGAAGAAAGCTCTGTCAATCAGAAGACTCATCATATTTAACCCCTTAGTGACCAGACTGCTTTTCAATTTTCTTACCGTTTGGGACCAGGGCTGTTTTTACATTTCTGCGGTGTTTGTGTTTAGCTGTAATTTTCCTCTTACTCATTTAATGTGTTCCCACACATTATAAACAGTTTTTCTCGCCATTAAACTGCCTTTCTAAAGATACCATTATTTTCGTCATATCATATATTTACTATAAAAAAAATTATAAAGAATGATGAAAAAAAAAAAAACTATTTTTTTTAACTTTGATCCCCAAAATCTGTTACGCATCTACAACCGCCAAAAAACACCAGTGCTAAATAGTTTCTACATTTTGTCCTGAGTTAACATGCTTTTAGCTTTTATTTGCAAGTAACAGAGCTATAAGTACAAGTAGGACATTGCAGTTTCAAAATATATATATATTATTAAATTTATCAATAGTGACATTGTAACACTGTTATCTGTCATATATTTCTAAATCACACCTCACATGTACATATTTTTTTAGACAACCCAGGGTATTCAATATGTGGTATGTCTAAACTAAACACTGGCCAACGTTAGCATTTATATTTGATATTTGTTAAAAATGCAAAAAACTATTATGAACGCTAACTTTGGCCAATGTTTGTGACTAAGTGGCTACTAAAAAAGACTGAACATACCCTATTTGCAATACCTTGGGTTGTCTTCTTTTGCAAATGGTATGCCATCATGGGGGGGCAATTCTCATTCCTGGGCTACCATATGCTCTCAAAGGCAACATACCGTATATACTCGAGTCTAAGATGAATTTTTCAGCACATTTTTTTGTGCTGAAAAACCCTCACTCATCTTATACTCAAGTCACTGTCTGTATTATGGCAACTTACATTGCCATAATACAGACCAGGACCGCCGGGGGCTGGCAGAGAGCTGTAATTTACTTTTGCTGCAGCTCCAGTCAGCTCCCTTCTCTCTCCTCTGGCCCGGTCAGCTCCACTGTAAGTCTCGCGAGAGCCACGGGATCAGAGCGTTGCCACGGTTTAACGTGGCAACGCTCCACGCGGCAGTCACACCGCGAGACTTACAGTGGACGAGAAGGGAGCTGACCGGAACGGAGGAGAGAGAAGGGAGCTGACAGGAGCTGCAGGAAAGGTAAGTTACAGCTCTCTGCCAGCCCCCCTCCTACACAGCCCATCCACTGGACCACCAGGGAATGAGAGCCCCCCTCCCTGCCATGTATCAAGCAGGGAGGGGGGACGAAGAAAATATAAATGATAATAAAATATTAATAATATAAAAAAATAAAATAAAATAATAATAATAATATAACAAAAAAATAATAATATTAAAATAATAATAAAAAAAAAAAATGCCTACCCCCCACCAAGGCTCTGCATCACACACACACACACACCCCGCACTTATACACACATACACACACACACACACACACACACACCGCATTCATACACACACCGCATTCATATACACACACACACACACTGCATTCATTATATACACACACTGTAAATAAATATTCAATATAATTTTGGGGGGATATCATTTTATTTAGAAATTTACCAGTAGCTGCTGCATTTCCCACCCTAGTCTTATAATCGAGTAAAATTAAGGGTCTCGACTTATATTCGGATCGACTTATACTAGAGTATATACGGTAACCAATCTGGCAAATTTCAATGTTAAAAAACAGAAAATCAAGCCTTATATTTGACCCTGTAACTTTCAAAAACACTATAAAACCTGTACATGGTGGGTACGGTTATACTCTGGAGACTTTGCTGAACACAAATATTAGTGTTCCAAAACAGTAAAAACGTATCACAACAATATCGTCAGTGAAAGTGCTGTTTGTGTGTGAAAAATGCAAAAAAAAAAAATGCACTTTCACTGACCATATCATCACTGTGATATGTTGTACTGTTGTGAAACACTAATATTTGTGTTCGGTGAAGTCTCCCGAGTAAAACAGTACCCCCTATGTACAGGTTTTAGGGTGTCATGGAAAGTTACAGGGTTAAATACAGTGCGAGCAAATTAAATTCTCTGGACTTTTGGCCTGGGTTGTCAGACAGGTCCCCCAAATTGCAATAAAATTATTTATGTAAAAATATTACATAAATATGCACGTAGAATTTAAATATATATTTGAAGTCTAAGTGTACATTTATGAAATTATGTATATTTTTATTTATTTCTATATACATATATAATTTTATTCTATGTGTATATTGATTATATACACACACACATCAAAATACAGTTGGAATAAAGATAGATATATATAATTTCTAATTTTTTAAAAATATTTTTTTACTTTATTTTTTATTATACATATATATATATACACACACACAATATAAATAATTATGTGTGTGTATATATATATATATATATATATATATATACACACACACACACACACGTGTAATTTTACTCTAAGTATTTATATATTAATGTATGTATATATTAAAAACAAAATACACTTAGTATGACGTTCTATACAAGATATTTATATATATTTATTTTTACATTTATTACCTTTATTTTTTTTTATTTTAAAACTTGTTTGTAACTTTTTTCACCAGCCTGTTGGTTCAGACAACTATAGACACCTATTGCAGCCATGTGACCGCTCTTTCAGAGCGATCACATGGCCCATGGAGTCCTATTTAGTCGAGAGGGGACTGTCTGGGCTGTGGGCAGTGGAGAAGAAGACTAGGTACGTCCGAGGTACTGGGGAGGGGGGTTATTACATATGATATATTTTATTTTTTAATTATTTTTTTATTTTTTATTTTATCTTCACTGAGTGTCCCAACCACTCGAGGCACTCAGCACACAGGCAGAGCATCGGCAGTGATATGTAAAAAAAACAAAAAAAAAAAAACACCCAGTGGCCCGGCAGTGATTGAGGTATTGCAGCATGTCTGCAATACCCTTAGAACGGCTGGAAATTATCACGATCGCTTCCAGCGCTCAAATGTGCCGTGGACAAAAAAGGGTACGTCAGCGGTCGTTAAACGTTTTTTGTCTGACGTATCCTGTACGTCCGCGGTCACTAAGGGGTTAAAATATATACATTGTACTTATTTCTGATTATATGTGATTGATGTCTCTCCCAACCCAGGGCCCGTCATCTAATCTACTCACACTAAGTCTACCAGAAACCACACAAACATCATCCCAATACCATGCCGTCTATCCCCATCTACCAATATTCAGTGTGCACTCTTGAACGCTCGCTCCATCTGCAACAATATAAAATCAACAGCCATACGCAACTTCTTAAATTCTTTCACACTTTTTGCACCCCCTGAGACCTGGCTGTCCTCCTCTGATACGGCTACTCCTGCTTCCTTATGTTATGTTGTGCTACAATTCTCCCACACTTCCAGACCAAACAACTGTAAAGGAGGTGGTGTAGGCATCCTTCTCTCCCTGTCCTCCTTGCCCCTGCCCTGTCCTTTAATTCCTCTGAAGTTTACACTGTCCATCTTTTTAAACCCATTCCTCTAAGAATTGCCATCATTTATCATCCCCCACCCAGTCATCCAAGGCTGTTTATTAAACACTCTTCTTCCTGGCTAACCCATTTCCTCTCCTCTTGTACTCCTTCCCTCATTCTTGGGGAGTTTAACATCCCAATCAACAACCTCAACTGCCCTAATGCCTGCCTTCTGCTCTCTGTAACCTACTCCATTGGACTCACACAGTAGTCCAGTTCATAAACTCAGAGCAGGAAACACTCGACCTCAGCTTCACCAATCTCTGTACCACCTCTAATCTCCCCAATGTTCCATTTCCTTTGACATCCGCATACCCTGTATCCAAAGTACCTCACCTTCACCACATCAGTCTTGCAGAAACCTCCAATGTCTTGACCTACAGCAATTCTCCACCAACCTCTAAAGTCTCCTTTCACCAATCTCAAATCTCACCTGCCCTAGCACTGCAACCTCCCTCTACAACTCCACAGCATGGCACCTCCTACACTTAAACGCACTAAGCACCCCCAATTACAACCCTGGCACACCCAGCGGACCCGATACCTCCAAAAATGTTTCAGAACTGCTGAACGCTGCTGGAGAAAGTCTCACTCTGCGTCTGACTTCCTCCACTATAAGTTTATGCTGCACTCCTACAGTCTGGCTCTTTCCTCTTAAAAGAAAACCATTTCAATACACTCATAACCACACTCTGCCGCGAGCCCAAATGACTGTTTCGTGCTCTTAACTCTCTACTTTGCCCTGCCTCCTCCTCCTACCAACTTGATCCCCACAAATGTTGCAACTCACTTCATTGAGAAGATTTCTACAATCAGGGAAGAGATCTCTCATCTCTCTCCATCCAGTACAAACTTTTCCCCTAACCACAGTCCCTCAGCTATCCTAGGCTTATTTTCACCTGCTACAGCATAAGGGGTTTCTGCTCTGCTACGTTCCTCCTGCCCCACCACCTGTTCCCTCGATCCTATTCCCTCGTATCTCATCCGCACTTTGTCTCCTTCTCTTGCTCTGCCTCTCACTAAAATTTTCAATCTCTCCCTCTCCCCGGCACATTTTCTCTACCCTTCAAACATGCAACTGCAACCCCGATTCTGAAAAAGTCCTGCCTTGATCCTAATTCCCTGTCCAAATACCACCCTATCTCGCTACTGCCGTTTGTCTCCAAGATCCTTGAACGAGTTGTGTATGCAAGATTGACAGATTCCAACTCTGCTTGACCCGCTTCAATCTGGATTCCGCACTTGTCACTTTGTTAAAACAGCTGTGACCAATGTATACAATGATCTTATCACTGCTAAATCCCATGACCACTACTCTATCCTAATTCTCCTTGACCTTTCTTCTGCTTTTGACACGGCTGGTCATCAACAGCTTCTTCTCATCGTCCATAATATCGGTCTATGATATACTGCTCTCTCCTGGTGCTCTTCCTACCTCTCCCAAGGCTCATTCAGTGTTTATTTCTCTGGCTCTGCCTCTTCTCCCCAATCCCTCTCTGTTGGTGTTCACTAAGGGTCTGTCCTTGGTCCCCTACTGTTCTCCATCTCTACTGCCTCCCATGGTAAACTTGGCTCCTTTGGCTTCCAGTATCATTTTTATGCAGATGAGACACAAATTTCTCTGTCCTCCCCTGATTTCTCACCACCCCTCTTGACTCATGTCTCTGGCTGCCTCTCTGCTATTTCCAACTGGATGGCTGCTCAGTTCCTTAAACTGAACCTGTCCAAAACAGAACTTCTGGTCTTCTCTCCCTCAAGTATTGCTACTCCCTTATCTGTGTCCCTCCAATTCAATGGCGCTACCATCCGCTCTACCTCTAAGGCTCACTGCTTAGGTGTTCTTTGACCCCCGACCTCTCCTTCACATCTCGTGTCCAATCAATCGACAAATCCTGTCGCTTCCATCTCAAAAACATTGCGTGCATTTGACTCTATTTAACACCTGATACAGCAAATGTGCTTGTCCATGCTGCTGTCCCCTAAGTCTAACCTCTGTTTATAATCCTATCTCTGATGCTCACCTTCTTTAGGGCTGCACTGTTCCTTTGGAATGCCCTTCCTCTCTCTGTTAGACTCTCACCCAATCTCCGCTCCTCCCAAAAAATATTTGAAAACGTACTTCTTTAGGAAAGCATATTAATTAAACTGAACAGCTTTCCCTCCCCACACCTGATTCCTCTCTTGAAACTAATCAAAACAAAACACTAAGCCCTCAATGAATACTATCCTAGCAACCTACTTTTCTACTCTACCCTTACCTTTTGTGTCACTATACCCCACTCACTATGGCAGGTCAGCTCACTGAGCAGGGCCCTCAATCCTTTTGTAGCTGTGCGTCAAATTTGTCTGGTTACAAATATGTGCCTGTTAGTCCATCCATTGTACAGCGCTACGGAACGTGTTGGCACTTTAGAAATATTATTATTAATAATAAGTATGTATAGGTAAGTGACTGAAGTGATTAAGGAATGACTTTCTAAAACTAATATTAGTAAGAATTCTGGTAAGAGTAAACGATTTTTACTTCTAGCTTAAATTGTGTCTACCATGAAAATACACTGAAAAAGGACAAACAAGTTTGCGCCGACTCATTGGTTTACGCATTATGTAGATAATACATGATACATATATTCAACCTTGTATGCAAAAATAGAAAATATGTTCACTATTGAACAAGTGACTCAGTACATCATAATGCTCACTTCATTTTCTAAAGCGTTGATGAGCTTCTCCCAGAAAGCCTTGTTGTACTCAAAGTGCTACTCATGGGATTTGTACTACTTACCATGGAAAAGTCATGAGATCCAATTAACACAATAGCGTTAGGGAGGATAACATAGTGTTAAGAACACATTACTCCTATTTAAATATAGAACCCCTAAATTAAAATAAAACCTTTTTTTTTTTTTTAACCTTTTACCTTTTTCCAGCTCCAAAACTCACTCTGTGCTGCCACACACTCCACCTCCAGTGACGCTGTCCCGCAGGCTTCTCGTCTAATCCAATGCTTCTCATTGGGCACAAGTAGCACATGCGCTTCAAATGCCATGCTAGTCCAAATGCTTCACGTAGGGAATTAAAGAATCTATTCATCATCATTTGATGAGATTTGACATAACCAAGTCAAACTATGTAGTTACCGGGGAAGCACACGCTAGTAGCAGTCAAGACAGCTACTAAAGGCGTTTTTAGTTCTGCGGTCTAAAACATTGCCGTTTAGTAGATATGGCAATGTTTTAGAGTGCAGGACAAAAAAGTTAAGGATACAGTACCCAGACCACTTCACTGTGATGAAGTGGTAGGGTCACTGTAGAGTCCCTTGAAGTTGGTATTTAAAAGCCATGTATGGCAAATTAACCAATCAGAAACATGTGACAGGCAAGTCTCACAGCTCATAAGATTTGCCTTCTAAATATCACCAAGCAAGTGTCATGGGAGTTGCCTATTCAAGCACTCTGATTCACAATGAAGAACTTCATAATGACCACCCCATTAGATAGTAGGGGAGTTGCTAGGTGGCAAACAGACAAAGGGCTTCAGTTCAAAGGTAAATGATATGCCTTCTCCCACATACAGACAATTCCCCACTTCTAACTAGCCCTATACCAACCCTAAACCTAGATGTCTTCTATAAATTACATTGTGACAAAATATTTGACTGAATTCAGAGTACTGCATGAACTTCGATTTAAAAAATACACACCGGTTATATTAACTCTGATCCATGCTGTATTAATCCTTGATCCCACTTCATTAAAACCCTTTACTCACAGGGGCGGGGCCTGACCGCAGAGCTGAGAGGACGCTAGCCTCAGCAGCTTCTGCTGAATGAAGCAGAAAAAGTAGAATTTTGCTACCAAAACGGCAATTACCTGACACAGAAAGGCCTCCAAGCGTGAGGTAAACAAAATATAAAATGGTGGTGAGAGCACTCAAAACATGCATGTACGATATATTACCAAAACTTGATTTAGTTGGAATATCTACAAAACATAAAGCACAGAAACATAGTATAATATTGTTAAAATATATACAAGTAATATTTTGTGACTGGTTAAACTCACATATTACGGAGTCACTTTAAAAGCTGACTCAGACTTAGGGCTTGTAACGAGATGAGAAATCTCAATTTTTGGACGTCCTGTATCAAATTTGATAGATCCGCGCTGGAAATGTTCTCCAAAATCACTCCAGGATGCAGAATCAAATCCAAACTGATTTTATTATTAAAATACTACATAAAATTAAAAATAGTAATAAATACAGGTAAAGTGTCCTTCATATGTACCACGACGCGTTTCGGCACTCACAGCCTTTCTCAAGTGGTCTGTTTCTCATCTCAGATCTCTTCTTTTTATATTTTCAAATTCCAACGCCCTTTCCCTGGCGTCCCGTATGACTTCCGCTTTCGTCATTATTTGGCGACTTCCGGTTACGTTCCGTAATGACGTTACCGTTTACGTCATCATTCTTTGCCCAAAACGGCTACGTCATGACGTCTTCCCGGCGCCGAAACCGGAAGTGTTCTCGGCGCCATTTTAGAAAGTCTCTTATCATAGAAGTTGCCAGTCTCTTAGCAATTACGACTTTTAACATTCATATACATTTAATATATTCGTCTATAAAGGAGGAGAGCCCAAATAAACACATATAATCAATAAAATTCATAAAATCATCATAAAAAAGGAGGTACTATTCACCTATTAAAGGGGAAGGAAGAATAGGTCATTAGAAAAAAACTTTATAACAGGGTAAAAGCATTCCTTATATATAAATTATATGAAATACTGCTAAAAAAACAAAAATTAAAAAAGTAGCATATAAAACTATATACATGAATTAATCTCAAAATCAATATTAAGACCATAAGGGGACAATGATTCCATATTAAAAATCCACTTCATCTCATTTTTACTAAGGAGGCTTTCTATATCACCTCCTCTCCAATGGGTTTTTACGGCCTCTATGCCTATGAATTCGAAACCACTAAATTTACCCTACACAATGTCTCTAAACATTTTTTAGAAGTACATGGAGGAAATATTAGTGGTTTCGAATTCAGAGGAGCCAAAAATATTAAGCAAGTTTTGACTTCAAGCTTTTAAGACAAAGAAAGAAGCTCCCAAATTACATCAATGTTTAAGAAAGAAAATGGTTTTTATTATTGTGGAACGTGTAGAGGCTGTATTTTAAGGAAAAATAAACATAAAAAGGTTACCAACTTTATCTCTTTTCAGAATAAAAAAACACATGAAATAAAATCTTTTGTAACATGTAACTCAAAGAATGTAATTTACATGTAATTTACATGATAGTCTGTCCCTGTGGATTACAGTATATTGGGAAGACATCTAGGACATTGAAGATAAGGATTAGGGAACATATTTATAATATAAATAGGAAATTTACCCTACACAATGTCTCTAAACATTTTTTAGAAGTACATGGAGGAAATATTAGTGGTTTCGAATTCATAGGCATAGAGGCCGTAAAAACCCATTGGAGAGGAGGTGATATAGAAAGCCTCCTTAGTAAAAATGAGATGAAGTGGATTTTTAATATGGAATCATTGTCCCCTTATGGTCTTAATATTGATTTTGAGATTAAAGGACCACTATAGTGCCAGGAAAACATACTTGTTTTCCTGGCACTATAGTGCCCTGAGGGTGCCCCCACCCTCCGGGACCCCCTCCCGCCCGGCTCTGGAAAGGGGAAAAGGGTAAAAACTTACCTTTTTCCAGCGCTGGGCGGAGAGCTCTCCTCCTCCTCTCCGCCTCCGATCCGCCCCGCCGGCTGAATGCGCACGCGCAGCAAGAGCTGCGCGCGCAGTCAGCCGGTCACATAGGAAAGCATTCATAATGCTTTCCTATGGACGCTGGCGTGCTCTCACTGTGAAAATCACAGTGAGAAGCACGCAAGCGCCTCTAGTGGCTGTCAATGAGACAGCCACTAGAGGATTAGGGGAAGGCTTAACCCATTCATAATTATAGCAGTTTCTCTGAAACTGCTATAATTATGAAAAAATGGGTTAACCCTAGCTGGACCTGGCACCCAGACCACTTCATTAAGCTGAAGTGGTCTGGGTGCCTAGAGTGGTCCTTTAATTCATGTATATAGTTTTATATGCTACTTTTTTAATTTTTGGTTTTTTAGCAGTATTTCATATAATTTATATATAAGGAATGCTTTTACCCTGTTATAAAGTTTTTTTCTAATGACCTATTCTTCCTTCCCCTTTAATAGGTGAATAGTACCTCCTTTTTTATGATGATTTTATGAATTTTATTGATTATGTGTTTATTTGGGCTCTCCTCCTTTATAGACGAATATATTAAATGTATATGAATGTTAAAAGTCGTAATTGCTAAGAGACTGGCAACTTCTATGATAAGAGACTTTCTAAAATGGCGCCGAGAACACTTCCGGTTTCGGCGCCGGGAAGACGTCATGACGTAGCCGTTTTGGGCAAAGAATGATGACGTAAACGGTAACGTCATTACGGAACGTAACCGGAAGTCGCCGAATAATGACGAAAGCGGAAGTCATACGGGACGCCAGGGAAAGGGCGCTGGAATTTGAAAATATAAAAAGAAGAGATCTGAGATGAGAAACAGACCACTTGAGAAAGGCTGTGAGTGCCGAAACGCGTCGTGGTACATATGAAGGACACTTTACCTGTATTTATTACTATTTTTAATTTTATGTAGTATTTTAATAATAAAATCAGTTTGGATTTGATTCTGCATCCTGGAGTGATTTTGGAGAACATTTCCAGCGCGGATCTATCAAGTTTGATACAGGACGTCCAAAAATTGAGATTTCTCATCTCGTTACAAGCCCTAAGTCTGAGTCAGCTTTTAAAGTGACTCAGTAATATGTGAGTTTAACCAGTCACAAAATATTACTTGTATATATTTTAACAATATTATACTATGTTTCTGTGCTTTATGTTTTGTAGATATTCCAACTAAATCAAGTTTTGGTAATATATCGTACATGCATGTTTTGAGTGCTCTCACCACCATTTTATATTTTGCACTTTATTGATATCTGGTGTGTTGGAGTGGTTCACACTAGGTGATAGTAGCACCTATATTATACTTTGTTCCTTACAACTTTTTTATATATCGTGAGGTAAACAAGATGACAACTCCCAAGCGACATTCCAAGCAGCATTCACCCGAAACTCTTATGCAGCCTACAAGCATGGCAGGTGCGGGAGAGACATCCGCTCTCCTGCTGCCGCTACAAGCCAAGCATCTGAACCTAAACCCTCGTCCCCCTCACCCCCTGACCTGCCACAGAGCCCACCATGGGTGGTCAAGCAAAGGGAAGCAACAACCTCCACTAATTATACACTCGCGAGAGGCCAGCACCAGCCATGCCTGAAGAGCCTCACAGAGATCACTCGCAGTTAATTGAATAAATGCCATTCGTACCTATGCATGGCATACCTCACACTCACGCATCACAAGTTTACTCACACGCCTCTCTGCTCTGAGAGAAAGTCTTATCTTACAAGCATTTGCTCACGCACAAACCCTTACTCTCACACCGAACATGCATTTTTACTCCAAACAGATGTGGAATACGCAAACTGTTTATTGTTATAAACACTATGCTATATCTTGAATTACAAAATACCACAAAGTGCTAAGTTTACACATGCCATACCTATGTTATAATAGGTTTACAATGAATGCGCTTGTTAATGCTGTTGTGGCAATACTGGCACTGTTGTACTTATCCGCACAAAAAAAACAACAACAAAAAACACACCTTTACTGACAGCAATAACCCCACACTGTGCTGCATAATTAACTCTACACATGGTCCCTAAAAGCAGCACCGCTATAATGTTATTTCCCTCCCTCTCAAAATTACAGGCAATTTGGGGCAAACAATGAAATCTTGCCAAAATTAGACCCAATACTTTTCAAGATGCTGCTTGGTGCTCCAAACCCTATCAGCCTCAGCAACATCCTTATTGATTGGCCAAACTGATGCCAATTGGTGGTGGGCTGTGGGTGACAATAGCATTTCCCCCTAGGGTTATTGTATTCAATAGTATTTTATTAGGCTACATAAGTAGTAATACTTTTTTTTTTAATCTCAAACTGGTAGACTGAAAACCTCCCAATCATTTTATCATTAAATATTATATTAGACAATGGCTGTAAAGAGTCTATAGGTGAGGAAACCATACAATAGAATAAATAGCATGAAAGCATTATCTTAAAGATATGATAACTGATATCGGTACTCAAACTGTATACCTACATGTCACAGAACTCAACGCAAAAAAAAGCTGTACACTCAGCTAAAGCAGGACCCCACCAAATGGCAAGCAAATTTCACCCAGTATGATAAGAGCACAAATTTAACATATTTAGCATTTTGGTTTTCATCTGGCATCAAAGACAACTTGGTAAATAGTCATCTGAGGCAAAGATACCATGTCCTGTAGAACCTGTGACATGACTATATGCTAAAAAATAAGGAGGCATTGCTTCCCTTAAAGGGACACTATAGGCACCCAGACCACTTCATCTTCCCAGACCATTGAAGTAATCTGAGTGCACTGTTCCTTTCCTCTTAGTCCTGCAATTTAAAACACTGTAGTTTTACAGAAACTGCAGTGTTTACAAGGCAGTACTAAAACTGTATCTAGCAGCAGTCTACCAGGTACTTCCTGAAGTTTCACGAAGTTTAATTCTGTGAATTAACGATGGGCGTTCTCACATTTTGCATTAGGACATTAAGCATATTCAAAATCTATGCAGTAAATCATGTCCTTTAGGTTGGCTTTGGTCAGAGGAGGCAGAGATGGAGCTTGTGGGTCTGGACAATAGCTTATACTCCTACTATAGAGCAGAGGGATACTATAAGGTTGGGAATCGAGTTTTGTATTCTTGACGCTATAGTGTTCCTTTAAACAACTTGTGGAAGAAAACAAAACGTCAGAACAATGGAGAGTAGCCCACTTGAAAGTATAAAGCAGAAGAAACCAAGAAAAACCAAAGAGAAACATAAAAGGGAAATCCCCAAAAAAAAAAAAAAAGGAAGGAAGAGAAAAACAGAGTGATATGCAACTTCGGACATTCAAGATGGCCTCACATTAGGTATAGCAGTAGGTTAAGTGAGCTCATATCAGCCAATAACCAGTCTTTAGATAAAATCTTATGATAAGGGAGGAAAAAAGGGAAAAGAAAGAAAATGTCCACTGAAAATGTTGCAAGGCTTCGCCGCGGTACCCCTTGGCAAATAGCAAAGAGCTGCAATAGCTGGACTCTGAACCTCTCATAGCCACAACAGGCCATGCCCAGGTCACCAGACCTAGCGGGTGAGCTAGAATGTCCAGAGAAGCACCCACAACGGCCTCCGGGACCCATCCCTGACACTACAAGAGCTTCCATAATGCCTCTCACCTCACCAATCACTTCTCACAGCCAAACATATCCTCCCTTTTATATGAAAGGCTTCCATGTAAATCAGTATTGACATTGCCTGCTGTCATTAGTAGGAAAGAGTCAGAATCCTGGGCCCACTGAATGCAGTAGTAAGGTAAGTAATATTAACACCTTAAGGACAGAGGCAATTGTACAACTTCTGAACAAAAACAAAACCTAAAATTTGAGCTATAAATTTGTTCAACCGTAATTTACCTCTTTAATATTAAGTGCACCTACATATTCTATATCATATTGTTCAGGACAAATTGGGATTCATTTCACATCAAATATAACTTAATATGAATTAAATTTCAATAAATGAGACATTAAGAAATTTAGTTTACTCAATTTCTGCATGGCATTTTAACTGTGAATAGTAACTCATAATACTGTTTGCTTTTTACTGCAATAAAACATGTATGTCTATGATGTCCCATGAATACAATGATGGCCCCATGTACAGTTTTGGTGGGGGTTTTGAAAGTTACAAGACCAAATAGGACTTGCAGTCTTCATTCATTGAAATCTTACAAATTAATTTTCTGGGCCTATGTTGCTTTTGATGCTGTTTGGCAGCAGAGGATTTAAAATTACCCCAGAAGAGCGGAAGGAGGAATATGAAACTATCCTATTCCCAGTTTGTACTACTCACTGAGTCATGCTGAGCCTTAATCAGTTTCGCAACCACGGTCTTTACCTAAACAGTTACTGGCAAAGAACAGAATTTTTTTCATTGTGTAGAAATGCCTTGTGTTCTTGTATGTGCCTGTCTGTAAGTGTGTGAGCCAAGAGGTGTGTTAAGAAGTGGAATTTGTAATGGCCCCAGAGTGCGGCTTTAACCCCTTAAGGACACATGACATGTGTGACATGTCATGATTCCCTTTTATTCCAGAAGTTTGGTCCTTAAGGGGTTAAGGAAAGGACATGGCGGCTGATCAAGACTCAAAAAAGATGTGCAGCTATAGGACGCCACATTCAGGGTTCAAGCCCTCCCAGGCTCCCTGTGGTCATATTGACCCCCCAATTAACTTCTATGGGATTGTTTTCAGCATATAATGCAATAAAAAGGGTTGGTCACATCCCTGTTTTATCTTTTTAAAGGAACACTATAGTCACCAAGACCACTTAATCTAAATGAAGTGGTCTGGATGGAGTAGTGCTTTACTTTTAACCCAGCAATGTAAATCCTTGCAGTTATAAAAAAAAAAAAAAAAAAAAAGTTTATATTGCAGAGTTAAAGCCACCTCTAGTGGTGGTCTTCAGACATTAGAGGCACTTCCTGATAGCAGAGTTTAATTAGGGGAGCGTGGCGCATTACCGTGCATGCTTTCTCCAATCCAAGCAATGGACATGATTGCAAGTGATGTCAGCATGCTTGCCAACACCAAAGGCAGTGCTGGAGGCTGCAGCAGGAGAGCCCCGGCACTAAAACCAAGGTGAATTATCGCTTTTAAACTTTGATTTTTGCTAGCAAAGAGGGTGGTCAGAAGGGAACCTATAGTGACAAAATAACTAATTGTTATTTTCATAATTATAGGTTCCCTATAACCAAATGCACAGAACACCCAGCTACTTGACTGGAAGAAAAAGAGGATTTACTATGCACACATCAGCACTCGCATGATTTTGAGTAACCCTTTAAGTAGGAAATTGTCATTTTTATGGTACTCACCTATCTGCAAAGCTCTATAGTTGGAAAATGGGGGGCATACTCTCTATCCATAGTGGGTTTATAACCCTCTGTTTTATAGGATGATGAGGATCACCACATTATAAAATTTACTTCTGGGCAAGATCATTTAAATAGTAAACAATTGTAGATTTAACTGGCAACCTTATTCAAAATAGGTAAGTTTAGTCGTCCTAATGAGGCAGCTCATACTACTCTAAGATAAACAGAGCCCCAATCAGCTTGTTATGTGATGACCTGCGTTCTAGGAGAGCAAGATGCAAGAGACAAGACACAAAGAAGGGTAGAATATATCACCACTGCATATTGGGGAAAATAAAAACCAATCAGAGCCATTAAAAACTTCTGTTTAATAAATGCAACTAACCTTTCCTGGGGGACAGCAAACCAATATTCAGGCTGCTTTCTTTTATGAGCATATTGTTGCACCATTGCTGCACTTTGTGTGGCAAAGGACTTTCTCATTGGCTTGCCAACCCTGATGCATAAAAACATCGGAGGTATCTTGCTCTTTTCCTCTTTGGATGGCAGCATATCTGTTTAAAGAGAAACAAATGTGAAGGAAAACAAAAAAAAAAACAACAACTAGGGAAAACATGTGGATGGAATCTGAAGCTTTCCTACAAGGCACAGTTCAATAGACGTCAAACCAGAAAAAAAAAAAAAGGAAAAGTCTCTTGTACTCAGGAAAATTGATGTACTAAGCAGACATACCGGTAATCCTAGTGGTGGCATGATAACTTGGTTTGTACAAAGGTAATCAATTTAACCCCTTAAAGACCAAACTTCTGGAATAAAAGGGAATCATGACATGTCACACATGTCATGTGTCCTTAAGGGGTTAAATGTATGTGACATTACAGGGAATCATACACCAAAGAAATAAGAAGACTCAAGATGCTCCAAATTATGAAGGTGCTAATTTGCAACCTCCCAACACCCTCAGGCAGGAAAAATACTTTATCACTTCATGCCCAGACAAAAAGCAGAAGGCAATGCTTTTCTAATACAGCACTGTGATTGCCGTGCCTCATAATGCATTCTATCGGCCAGGAGATCACCAGTACAGAGAAGCTGCAGAGTGCGCTTTAGTAAAATACCTTCTCGCCACTGGATTACTCCTTTTTTTTTTTTTTTTTTTTGGGCAGGGTATGGGTATGCAGGTCACTGGAGACTTTCAACATTATTAATACATGTATTTATTTTTAACACACCACAATTAAGTCTTTATGGGGGCTTTAGTCTCTGGGCATCTTCTTACCATTTTGAATGGTTTAACTCAAAGGCTGTGTCCCAGGCACCTATCTACTCTGCTTCCCATCTCCTCCTTGCGGCCACTGTATGGGTTGGCTTGGGCACTGGTCATAAGACAAAAAAGAGTCAGCTGGCAGCACACCGCAAGTAACTGTAAATATTTGTACTCACAAAGGGTGGCCAGTGATCGTCAGAGAGCATCAGATGACTTTCAGGCTAACACCAGCAACCAAGCCAATGTTTTCTCATGTGCAGTGGCCAGGAGGAAGACAGAGGTGGCAATGTGGATGAGCACCCAGGGACATAACTTCAGGGTTACACCACTTAAAAGGCTGATTAACTTTCATGAGATTTTAAATTCTTCTGGCCTCCGTGCTACAGTATTTCAGAAACATTGCCTGTGTGTAATAGAACTCTTTACAACCTTTAGCACAGCCCCTCCCCTTAACCTTCTTTTACTCCACCACTTGGTGAATTAAAATGGTGGATCTGTGAATCTGTCTGCATTCAGATATAGTAGGAGTATGAGTGGGGACTCTTTACATGGATCTAATTAGTAGCTTTGTAGATATCCAATTTGTGAAAGGTGTTCATGACAGGGAAATGACTGGCTCTGGGTTAGCAGTGACAGGGTTAATACTGGGTCAATATTGATATCTAGAGTAGGAAAGGAGAAGGTTTATTGCAGGGCCATTTAAAGATCTACTTTGAGGAAGGAAGTAGTTATTTGGCAGCAGAAGAGGATTGTAACTGGATAAGTATTTACTGTGTGTATACAAACTGGGGAAGGAAGGGTTAGTTGGCAGGCTAAGGGTTTATCCCAAGCACCATAACAGTCTGCTGTAGTAGTTATGATACCTGGAGTACCCAGGCACCATTATTATAATAGGGCTGAATGCATCAACTGACCACTGTCAGCCAATGAATGCAATTATTTGGTTAAATTCTAAACTTTCCAAAGCGAAACAGCATTTTAAATACCCACACATAGCTCCATGACCACTTCAAATCACTGAAGTGGTCACAGAGCTTGGAGTAATCCTTTAGTGTTGTAATGTGAATACTGTGGAGAAGGATATTCAACAAAGGATGTTGGAATTTAAAGGGACACTATAGTCACCTGAACAACTTTAGCTTAATGAAGCAGTTTTGGTGTATAGAACATACCCCTGCAGCCTCACTGCTCAATCCTCATTTAGGAGTTAAATCCCTTTGTTTATGAACCCTAGTCACACCTCCCTGCACTTGACCTGCACAGCCTTCCATAAACACTTCCTGTAAAGATAGCTCTATTTAGGCTTTCTTTATTGCAAGTTCTGTTTAATTACGATTTTCTCATCCCCTGCTATGTCAATAGCTTGCTAGACCCTGCAAGAGCCTCCTGTATGTGATTAAAGTTCAATTTAGAGATTGAGATACAATTATGTAAGGTAAATTACATCTGTTTGAAAGTGAAACAAAGTGATTTAACTCCTAAATGGCAGTGAAATTGCAGGGGGAATGATCTATGCACTAAAACTGCTTTATTTAGCTAAAGTAAGTTAGGGGACTATAGTGTTCCTTTAAATGTGAGGATATGCTTGACATATGCTGTGTAAATGAAGGCGGCAAAGGAGATGTAAATGGTTAACTGGTTTGTAAATGTTAGTGAAGTGGTGTAATATGCAGTTTGTATAAGTATATTACAGATTTGCAATTATGTGTAGTACAGAGTGTATTTTACAGCAACACAGTAATGTACATTAGAGTATTACACAGCTCTGTAGTAATGTGCAGTACAGAGAGTATTACACAGCTCTGCCGTAATGTGCAGTACAGAGAGTATTACACAGCTCTGCCGTAATGTGCAGTACAGAGTATTATACAGCTCTTCAGTAATGTGCAGTACAGAGAGTATTACACAGCTCTGCAGTAATGTGCAGTACAGAATATTATACAGCTCTGCAGTAATGTGCAGTACAGAGAGTATTATGCAGCCTCACAGTAATGTGCAGTACATTTGTGTGTATTATGGAGCTCCACAGAAATGCAGCATATTTAAGTATTACCGAAATCTACTCCTAGTGGAAGTTTTGCATTCTTTCACTATAACATCTAGCACAAAGAATCTCGAGAATTTATTTAACATAAATTCCAAGTTGCATCCAGATGACCTTGAATATAATTTAAAAGACGGTTACAAATTAATAAACACTTTTTTTCCCCAAAAGGGGGAGGAGAGTTAGCTATTAAAGTGAGTGATTACTTTTAAAGTGACAATTTATTTGGGGTAAGATCTTTCTAGCAAGTTTCTAGTTCATGCATTCAACATTAGAAGAAGTCAAGAAAAATAATTGGAAATTTGCAACACATAAATAGGAAAGCAGATAGAGTAAAATGCTTCATATAAATGGAAAAAGAAATGCATACCTTCTATTGGCCCTTGCATTCTTTTAAGCAACCAGAGTTTTAGTTCAGATTCACTATCTATTTGTGCGTCTTTAGGGCTGGATTCTTCAGGAGAACAAGGAGACAAGGAATCTGGTGACTCATCAACATTAGCATTATCCTTATGAGTTTTTTCATTTGGTTTACTGTACACGTTAATCTCTCCATGTTCTGAACTAAGGGGTCTGTTGATCTCTGCTTCTTTTATTCCAGGAACAGGCATTAAAAGTTCTTTAGACTCAGGTCTGTTTTCTTCTGTGGGCTGGAGGCAAACTTCTATATTTTTGGTTTCACTGGAGACTTGATGAATTTTAAAACATGAGTTTATTTCCCTTATAACTTTATCTTCATTTAATGTGCCAGTGGAAACAGACGCCTGTTCTTTGGGGCCAATTACTTCAACAATTACACTATCAGAAGATCCATGAACAGTAGGGGTGGATGTGTTGTATTCTTCATTATTCAATATCATTACCTTCTGTTCTTCTAATGGGTCTACTAACTCAAGAAAATCATCTTCAGCACAAGACTCAGCCTTCTCAGTTTTAGAGCTACTAGTAATTTCAGAAGCCTGTTCAGGTTGTAGTGTAAATTGATTAACGGGATTTAAATGTACTGTAGACAAGTCAACAGGTATCTTATTTTTAGGATGTTTGGATTCATTTACCACGTAGTGATTTTCAGCAGTGCATGATGTAGTTCTCTTTTTTACATTATCAGCTTCAATAACTCCATATTGCTTCTTTTCCTTATTGAGAGATTTGAATTTGCTGAATGGATTGATGTCTTTTTCAGATGACAGGTCCTCCCATTCCCCAGGCCTGTACAGAGGACAAAGATCCTTGGGTATATCACTGTCAGGAAAAAATGGTGGATGGGGATGGAATGTTAAACAAAAAAAAACAAAAAAAAATGAAGGAAATAAATAATAAAAAAATAACATACCGTAAACTAAAATTTAAACTAAAATAAAATGTGCAGAAAGAAACATAAAAGGAAAACAATGTATGCAAATCCAAGAAAATAAACAATTTAAATGCACAACTAAAGATAAAAGCAAAACTGAATAAAGGAAATTGATGGTGCTGGGAATGATTCATTTAGTGATTTATTTGTAGGTTGAGGGAAGCAAATACCATTTTACAGATAAATCATCACAGTTGCATCCATTTCATATTTAAAGGAACTATGGAGGCAAATACATGCATATCCTTGCACCCCCCTCCCAGCCCCATCCCCCATAAACTTACTGTCACTAAATGATTTTTTTCCCTAAATAGTTTAAAAATGAGCTTTAGAAGTATTTCTTGTAATTTTTACTTTGATCGTCTGCTCCTCCTGATTTAATGTAATTTCCCACTTTGATTTTTCCCTACTTCCTGTATTTCTGCTGGACTATCCACCAATGGCCATGCTCCAGTGATTCTCTAAGAAAATCAGTAATGACACACCCACAATGGCCATGCTCCAGTGATTTTATTAAAACACGGAGGCTCCTATTATGCTGCACTCTTTCTTTATTTACCTCAGCAGCAAAGAAAAATAACATTAAATCAGTATAAAAGAAACCAGTAAATAACATGAGGTATATCTTCCTAGCAACAGCCAATCAGCATCCTCTTTATAGCATAATAGGCAGTGTCCAGTATACTACTTCCTCTTTCTTTGCTGCTCCCTCAGTTAAGTGACACTGGGTCCCATGGTTCTTAACTGTGGGATCTTTTACTTTACTTTATTCATATCATTACTGTGCTTAATATAGTTATTATAGTTATTACATTTTAATTATAATATTTTCATGTTTATAAATATATTTAGTTTCTTCATTTTAACGTAATTTGATTTATTTACTTCATTTGCTTCAGTTATATGCTTTATTATATATCCTTTGATAATTTATTTCCCCTCTGACCTCCCTGGCCCCAAGAATACCATCAATTGGGGCTCAGGGACGTCTTTGAGGATCTTTATCCCCCGCACAGGGCCATTGTGCTGTTTTTTCCCTTCATTTATCTGTCTGGCTGCTGCTCTGCCACCAACTGCCAGAAATCCAAGTTGGGGTTTAGTTGTAGTGGCAGCCGGGCAGCTCCTTTGTTTTTATATTACAATTGCTATTTTTTTTTTCACTATTGTGAGTACTTTCATTTCTTTATCCTGTTTAGTTATTTATTTATTTTTTACTTGAGGGTTACTCAACCCTTTCCTTTTGGTATTATTTTGCTTTATTCATCCCCTTAGGTTTGTTTGTATATTTATGATGCAGTCTGACAGGATCTTTCTGGGTCTACAGCAAACATGCAGATTAATGTAGAAGCCTCTCCAGGTATCTCTGGAGATGAGGCTGAATTTCTGCTTTACTGATCCTGCTGACATGCAGGCTTTAATTGACACTTCCATGGCAAAAGCAATGACAAGGCCCTGGTGTCAGGCCACAAGGCCTCATATAAGGCTAAACACTCCTCCAAAACAATAGAGATGGACAGTACCATACCTGTCATGGATGGCGCGATTAATTTACCACCGCGCAAAAGAGCTACTAGTCGGGCAAAATCGATTAGACTTTGGAAAAGGGCAAAAGCCCAATTAAACTCTGAATCTGAGCTCAGGGATATTGAGGAGGAGTTTCCCTGAGTACTATATGGAGGTGTATCTGTACTCACACCTGCTCTGCTTCAGCCTGGCCGCAAGGCCTCATATAAGGCTAAACACTCCTCCAAAACAATAGAGATGGACAGTACCAAACCTGTCACGGATGGCGCGATTAATTTACCACCGCGCAAAAGAGCTACTAGTCGGGCAAAATCGACTAGACTTTGAAAAAGTGCAAAAGCCCAATTGAACTCTAAATCTGAGCTCAGGGATATTGAGGAGGAGTTTCCCTGAGTACTATATGGAGGTGTATCTGTACTCACACCTGCTCTGCTTCAGCCTGGCCACAAGGCCTCATATAAGGCTAAACACTCCTCCAAAACAATAGAGATGGACAGTTCCATACCTGTCACGGATGGCGCGATTAATTTACCACCGCGCAAAAGAGCTATTAGTCGGGCAAAATCGACTAGACTGGAAAAGGGCAAAAGCCCAACTGAACTCTGAATCTGAGCTCAGTGATATTGAGGAGGAGTTCCCTGGGTCCTATATGAAGGATTCAGAGGATATTTCTGATCCTGATTATGAAATTACTGATGAAGAGGATGCTAATCCCATTTGGGATACACGTCCTGTTAAACCTACCAAGATTTAGGTAGATTATGCGGACTCAGGGACACCGATAGGATCTTGGACACTCAATGTGAACCCCTATTCGAACCTGAAGACCTATGTCACCCAGTGGTCTCCTCAGACCATGTAGCCAAGTATATTGCATCCAGAGTACGCAAGCCTTTTGAGAAGGCAAAGTGAAATAAATTGCGGGCTGAATGGCCACGCCGAACAGTCCCTGATGACTCATGTTAAATGCTATCAGTCAATCCTAAAATCATTCAATTCCTGAGTAAGACAGGATGGAAGCCATCTAAAGGCTTAGAATTTCATTGCAAAACTATCAGGATAAAATCCTGGGCATCTTGGGCTCAGCAGCCAAGATCTTTGAAGCAGTGGAGGATGATCTAGAATTAGATTGCGCCATCTTAAGTGGTTAGATCCAGAGAGTGATTTAAGTTGGCAACGCCAACAATGCGGTTGTCATGGAACGCCACAAATCGATCTTGCTCAAGATTGAGCCCAAACGTTTAACTATTGCTCTGAACGAGCCAGATAACACAGGCAAAAGGTTTTCTCTTTGGGGACAACTTTGTAAAAGAATTGGGCTCCTTTGTCCTGCTAAACAAACAGAAGTTCTTTTAGACAGAACCAAGGCTCTTATACTTGCCGAGCCGATTTCTTTGAACAATGCACTATACCAACCTCCTTCTCACAAAGTGGCCAACCCTGGATTGTTAGTGGCCTAAGAGGTGCTCCTAAGACGTCTTCACAATTTCCATTCTTTCTTACTGATAGTGGGGGGCAGGCTCACACATTTTTCCCATGTATGATCCCACATTTCATCAGATGCTTAGGTTCTTCACACTGTGAAAGGGTATTGCATAGACTTCCTTTCTCTACTTGTTCAATGTTCCCCATCAAGGGAAATTGTTTTTTCCCAATGAGACACAGACCTTGTCTCTGTGGACAATCAATTGTAGAGATTCTGACGCATACCCTGGGTTACGTGAGCAACCTTTTCTTGTTTCCCAAAAAAAGGCAAAGGTATCCATCCAGTGATAAATTTGAGACTGTTCAATAGTTATGAGCATATCAGCACTTCCAAGATGGAAGGAGAGCATTGTTTAAGGGATCTTCTCCAACCAGCAGATCGGATGGCCAAATTGGATCTGCAGGATGCATATCTCACAGTGCCTATCCCAGTACAACATCAAGATCGAGAACTTCCTGCAATTTACATGGTAGGGCAGTAAATAGAGGTTCATGTGCCTCCCATTCGGACTGTCTTCGGCTCCATGGTGCTTCACCAAGCTCACATCTTATAATATATTTAGATGGCATTTTCATTCTGGCTCAGTCTATTCAATTAATCCAGACATACCTTGCATGGACTTTGACTCTGTTAGAGAACCTAGGCTTCCTGACCAATTGGGAGAAATCTTTTATCGTTCCCACGCAACAAATAAAATTTCTGGGTTATATTGGATTATTGTAGATTCTACCCTTCAAACTCTACACCCTCCGGTGGCAAAATTAGCCAATATAAAGAAGGAGATAGGCGAACACTAGCAACCTCTCAACTCTCTCTCAAACAACTGTTGAGAATGTTAGGCCTTCTAGCGGCATCTATACAGGTCATTTCTACAGGTCTTCTTGGCTATCGAGCCCTACAACGATTACAAACTTCATCTCAAGGGCAGCACATCATACACAGATATGGCAACTCTGGACTCAGAAGCGGAGAATGAACTCCAATGGTGGCTTCTTCACATGGAAGCTTGGAATAAGCACACCATATTTTGTACAGCTCCAGATTTGATAATCAAATCCGACGCAAGTTTGCACGGTTGGGGTGCTGAATGCAGTACTATTTCCACCAAGGGCAAACCTGGAATCAACATTCCACATCAATTGTTTGGAACATCTGGCCGGTTCCTTTGCAGTCCATAGTTTCTCCCCAACTCAAGCCCAATGCGCTATCCTTCTGATGATGGACAACGTGTCAGCAGTCCGCTACATGAATCACTTGGAGGCACAAAATTCTGACCTACATGCCTCGTGATTGCTGGCAATTTTGCCTGAGACACGGCATTTCAGTCACGGCAGAATATATTCAAGGTCTCTCCAACACTACGACGGACTGGTATTCACGCCAACTCGGAGATTCCAGCGACTGGCACTTGGATTCCATGGTCTTCCAAGACATCTGGAACCTATGGTCTTCCAAGACATCTGGAACCTATGGGGTCTATTGGAAATAGATCTTTTCGCTTCTCATTTGAATGCTCAACTTCCCCGTTTTTTCACTTGGAGACCAGATCCGATAGCACTGGCTATGAATGTTTTCTCCAAGGAATTATGATTTTTTGCCTTTCCATCTACATCGCCAGTCCGGCACCTGTTGATCGTGGCTCCTCTATCGCCGTCCCAACCATAGTTCTCTTTTCTTCAGGAGATGGTTATCGACATTCCATCTCTCGAGTGCCTTCTTCAGGATCCAGATGGTGTACCTCATCCTCTTGTTCTCCAAGGTCTCTTGCATCTCATAGTGTAGTCTATTTCAGGGAACCTTGGTCGGTCAAGGGAGTTTCGCAATCAACTCCCCAACTTATCAAGGGTGCACCCAACACGAGACAGGCTTATAAATCTGCTTGGAGCAGATGGCATAGTTGGTGCATGAAATTAAATTTAAATCTCATATCGGCTCCTTTTATGTCTGTCCTCCATTTTTCTGATTTCTATAATGAAGGTAAAGCCTATCGCACTGTGGACCTTACCGATCGTCCATTTCTGCTGGCCATCAAAGTTTTGATTGGACGCCTGTCGGTTGACATCATGTCATATATTGACTTATCTGAGGAATATGGTTTGCTCATTCACCCTTACCACGATACTCTGCCTTGTGGGACGTCTCTATTGTCTTGAATTTTATTTTATTTTTTCTTGCAAGAGGTTTTTCTGACGTACGAGCTCGTGAGGTGGTTGCTTGTTCCTTTACTCCAGAAGTTGTCCTCTTTGACATTTCACGGAGGACAAAAACCTCCTCTAAAATCTATCTTACCCAGTTTTCCCTGATAGTTCTCTCCTTTGCCCTGTTGCATACTAATGGGTGTGTGAACATCGTTCTACTACGTTACAGAATCCTTTGAAACATGAACTCTTCATCTCCATCCAAAAGTCTCATCTTCCGGTGTCTACTCTAGCCTGGTGGGTCAAATACGTTATGTCTCTAGCAAGTATTGATACCTATGTGTCTGTGCCTCATTTGGTTCGTAGGGCAATGGCTTCTAAGGCTTCCTCGATTGGTTGTCGCTTGGAGGATATTATGAGAGCGGCTGGTCTTCGGAGTCTACATTCCATGATTTCTACTTTAGACCTATTCAACACTTCACAGGAGACATAATTTCACAGCTTTGAACTAGCATAATAGGAGCCTCTGTGTCTTAATAAAATTTACAGATTTTACTATTAACATGACGTAAAGTCATGATTTTATTAATGACACGGAGGCGA